TTTTAGCGTGTTATTAAATTTCTATGACAAGCCTTTTTATAGGATTAAGAACTATATATATTATGTATTACTGTATACTGTGACGAAAATTCTAAGTTGGGATATTTTTAAAAAGTTTCTCTTTGAGCTCGTCGAAGCTGACATGAAGAAGATCTTTGTAATCCTTGATTAATCCAGTGTGGTTTGCTGCACCAGGGGAACCACGCATGTAAACTATTTTAAATCCAGTTACTGGCTCTCCATCCTTTTTGACAACAAAATGCCCATCGTCAATTATGGCGGAATGATTACCACCAAATACTTCGTCCAAATAGCTTTCAATCTGATTTCTGCCGTCGGGACCTCTCTTATCAAAAGCGTTCTGGATTTGCTTAATTTGTTTCTTCTCGTGTTCTTGGAAATTACTTATGGGCACCTGGATAAACATTGTGTCGAGTATGAAATCAAAGCGAGGATAAGTCGAATGACAATGGCTCAGTACATGTCCATAGCCACGTCCAAGAGAAGTCATGCCTTGATGGATTGTCCCATGATCCTTAAAGTCCATTATAATCTCCGTTGGATTCACGCCGATAAGGTTTGTTGCTTTGAGAACGATTGGCTTGGTTAAAGTCAAAAGCCGGACTAGCAGTGCCAACTCGAAATCATCTCCACTCATCTCTCCAAGAATAACTCCCCTCAGGATATGCTCATGATGAGGCATATTTGTAAACGCCTGAAAGAGTGCTTTCTGCGCTGGGAGGCACAAGACATAGTTTATGGCTCCGCGGTTCTTGTTGAGACGATAGATAAGCCCTAGGTCACGGAAATCCCATTCAAAATCACTACTCTGCGAGTTGTTGCCAAGGAAGACTGTTGCAAGGCTTTTAGCGAACTTCTTCTTCGATTCATCGCTGCAAGATCTGTAGTACGTCCAAACTACAGTGTGAAACTCGCCTGTTCTCTCAGTTACATACGAATCAATGCTATTTCTTGTGAGTGGTCTTTCCTCAATTGACCGGATGAGGAACATAAACTCTCGTGGCACACGGTTTGTAATCCTCATTATATCCTGGACAATATCGGGTTGGTTCAGGTGGACCTCCAACCATTTTGAAAACACTGTCTCGGATAGTGGGCCAACAAAGTACAATAAGGTATTTCGAAGACTGCCTGGCATAATCTCCAATTCATATTTGGCATGGGCTGTTCCTGTAAATATCGCTCTAGATCCTTTGGATTCAGCTTCCCATCGAGTGAGATCCTTTAGATGGTTCAAGAACAGGTATTTATCTGGCACGTACGGCTCTTTTTGGAATAACTTTCCATGTTCGTCGATAATGAATAGTGTTTTGCGCTCCTTCTGTTTGAATAGGTCGAATAATGCGCGACCAGCCGCAATTGAGCAATCTATAACTTCAGAAGCGTCGAGGAGACTTTCCAGATCAGATGCCGTCAAGATATCCCTGTTGAGAGCGAAGAAGATCCTTAACAGTGCCTTTGCCGATTTTATTTCCTAGAGCTTGACGAGTAATTGGTTGGAATATCGGTTCAATTTTACTATAACAGTTCTTCAAAGTCTCCAAGAATTGTTCTTTGCGATCCTCCTCATAATCCTTTAGTCGTTGCTTAATCCCATTAGCCGCGAGCTCAATGCCTTCAATGTCTTCGCCAAAAAAAAATATTGAATTCCCGTGGCACACATCCGGTGGCTTTTTGAATCTCGCCTCGTAGCTCATTCAATTGTTGGCGGGCTGTTGGGTGGACCTTATTTATGATCACATCCAGTAGCTTATTGAAAATATCAGGCGACAGTGGACCAACATACTCGACATAGTGTGGTGCGTCTCTGAGAATGAGCTTTGCAAATCTTACCGTACTGCTAAACACTACTCTCGCATTATTTGAATTGTTCCAAGAGTTGAAAGTCTTTAGAGGCCATAAAACTGGGAACCTGTCGGGCGCAGACTTACTATTTTTCTGGAAATAATGCACCATGCTCATCCACGACAAATAATGCCTTCTGACTTCTTGACTGGAGTAGGTCACCCAAGATACTGCTGGCGCTACTCACAAAAAGATTTTCCGATGTTTCAATTTCGACCATTTCCTCGAGCTCTGAGGCTGTCAAAGTATCTTTGTTGATGGATAAGAAGAGTTGACAGATCAGTCGTGATGCGTCAGTATTAGTGTCACAATTGTTAAGTTGATTAGCATCCGCAATATAAAGCACTGGCCAACCATGTGCATATGCCTTGGCCGCAAGGAACCATGAAATGTATGATTTGCCGACGCCCATTGGACCGTAAACATTTCTTGACAGACGACTCACTGTTCTCGAGTTCATTCCATAGCTTCATCATCTATTCAGACATAAAAAAACTCGCGACCTTGATAGCCTCTCGCAAAGAATATTGGGTTCTGACCAAGATCCATTGAAGTAATTCGATTCCCAGCCTGCACCATCAAAAGCGATTGGAACTCGGCGCGGGGTTCTGGTGCATACTTGTTATTTTCGCTCAAATTCAGTATATGTTGGGGTAAAACTACGAGTTCGCCATCGACTGCAATATATCGCTTCAAGGAACGACAGCGCTTCGTAAGGTGCTCTTTGAGCATATAAGAATAGCGAGACTGGCGTGAGTATGGAATAAATAAATTTTCTCAAGAATCATCAAAACTATGAATGGAATAAACTCACTTTCTAAATCTTCGTCTTCTGTGTCTTCTAGGCTCCTTTGGGACTTCTTGGGGCTATTTAAAATCCACGCAATAAACTAACAAGAGGATAGTTAGATAGGAGGCTTTGATAAAAGTACTTGTATGCGATAGAGCAGTGGGGAGCCGAAATAAGCTCAAGCAAAAAGCCTCGCGAGAGGACAGTGAGAGTCAGAGTATACGCACGCACCATGGAGGCGACTTTACAAATTCTTTTTACAGATCAAACTGTGCATTTAACAATTAAGCACCATTTACCACTATGCCTACTACCGCCCTCTGAATAATTCTCTACAAATAGCAAGACTGGATATTTTTGGCTATTCTAGAATGATTTGGGCGATCTAAAAGTCCCATAAATATAAACAGATCTAAAGTCGTCAAGCCGCATCTGCGTATTTATCTCAATCTGGTCTCTCATCTCATCTACAACCCGACGCGGCACCCTTTGATAGGATGACGCTTAAAGTTAGAAGATGAATGGAGTAGAAGCTTCCTTTATTGATAACACTATCCAACACTATCAAACAATGTTTGCAAAGAATAGGCTTTTGAGGTCGTTGAAGCTTACATGTTCTACATCTGGCAACTCTGTAACGAGCTGGCGGTGATTCCCTAGGTTAATATCTCTACCACAAATGTAGACGATTCGGAATCCAGGAACAACTTCATCAATACCTGTTGTCGGGTCTTTTTTGGTGACAATAAATCCATCCTTTCCAAAATCAGCTCTATGCTTTCCACCATACATTTCATCCAAGTAACACTCAATCTGATTCCTATCATTATACACCACTTTGGGTGTCTTGTACGGTCGCTTAAATGCTTTCCTTAAATCACTTGAATCTCTGTTATGCACTCCAAACTCGCTGACAGACACCTGGATGAATATTGGTCCAACCATAAAGTCAAATCGAGGATATCCTGGATAGCCACGGGCCAAGAATTTATCTTTTCCCGGGCCAAGAGAATGTCGTTGCCTGCTTATAACTCGGTAGTCATCGAAGTCCAACACGATCGAGCCCTTAGGATCACCAACGAGGTTCGTTGTAGGGAGCACTATTGGCCTAATACTAGTGCAAATAAATGCATGAAAAATTGCTTGCTCAAATTCATTTCCACTGAACCGATTAGCCTTGAGCCGATTCTTTAGATCTTCTGGCATTCCCATTGTCTTGAACTGATCCAAAAGTGCTCTGAAGGCTGTATTGCATAAAGGGCGGAATAAAATTACTCCATCTCTCCTTAGACGGAACAAAAGACCCAGATCTATGAAATCCCACTTGAACTCTCCTTCGACAGAACCATGTAAGAACGCCGAGGCAAGGCCATTATAAAAATTTGTACGGGTCGTCTCGGATTTTTCGATGCTTTTGTAGTAGTTCTGGATGTTGTGAGAAAAATCCAACCTTCGGCAGTCTTCAAACTTCTCGAATGCCTCCTTAATGGGTAACTCTGGATTCTCTTCAATATAGGTTGACAAGTTCATCAGCTCTCGTGGTACAAGGTTCGTGATACTCCGTATATCCTCGTAGTCCGTGGATTGGAGATTGGGAGTATGCTTCAACAGATTCTTGAAAGCGTCATCCAACAAAGGTCCCACGAATACCACTGTTTTAAAGTCCTCCTTAAAGCTCGATTCCATGATCTCCAATTCGAATTTTGCATGCGCTGTGCCAGTGAGAATCAAACGAGATCCAGCCAAGTCTTCAGTCCAACTGGAAAGGTCCATCAGAGGTTTTAAAGATTTAAATTTTTCTGGTACTGGTTTGTCGAATCTGAAGAGTTTCCCATGTTCGTCAATAATAGTTAGAGTCTTCCGTTCCTTCTGCATGAGCATGTTAAAAACGCGTATGATAGCAGTATTCCATATGCCACCTTGAACACCATAGCCGGATACAAGCGTCTCCAGTTCGGCAGCAGTTAAAACATCCTTGTTCATCACAAGGAAACGCTCGATCACTTCCATATATGAGTCCGCTTTCTCACTAGTATCCAAAGTACCCGCATCTGATATGTAGAGGGTAAGCCATCCTTCAGCATATGCTCTTGCTGTCAAAAAATAGGAGAGAAAGCTCTTGCCAATACCCATTGGACCAGACAAGACTCGTCTGTATACGCACCTTTGTTCTTCTTCCATCTCGTTCCAAAGCTCCAGCATTTGGTGCGTGACGAGAATTTCAGAGACTCTATAACCCTTTGGGACTTGACCCAGGGATGGTATATCGACCCAACTACCAGCCTTCAGATCGTCTTTGAGATGTTCAAACTCATTACGTGGTTTTGGAAGGTATCTAGAATCCTCTAGCATTGCGATCCAAGAGGGTGGTAACGTGACCATTTTGCCATCAGAAGCCCTGTATTCTCTCCACCCTTCCTCAATGCGTATCTTCTTTGAAGGTGAAATATACTGTGGATCTAATTATGATCATCGTACACATACACAGTTGGTTAGTACCATAACATATAGCCAGTCATCAAGTCAATCTATTTATACAGCAAAAAACAAATTATTACCTTCGTCCATTTTTCTCTTGAGAATCTGTCCCGATGTCTCTAGAAAGATAAGAGAGCGCAGCAATGGCAGAAATGTTAGCATTTTGATCAGATCAAAGAATATATTGCTGTCAATGAGATATAAACGCCAGCTAATGGAGAGTCAGAGCATGTGTGCGAAACGCGAAACAGATTCAATCAGAAAAACTAACAAATGCATCAATGTAAAAGGTCAAATAAAAATAAAAATAAAAATGAAAACTATGTTCTCAGACAACAGTGAGAGTCAGAGCATGCGCACGCACCACGGGGGCGACTTTTCAAATTCATCTCAACAACATAAAAAAGCGAGGGATACACGTGACCGTGCTGGGACAGAAAATAAGCTTCCTCAATTGAAAATATAACCATCAGTCCATCAAGAGCTAAATACATACCTGGCGGCGGCAGCTTGACAATGATGTGAATGCGACCTTTTGCTGCACCTTTTGGAAAATAAGTGCTGAGTTCTTCAAGTTCATCGAGCGCTACAAGCAATTCTTGCGATAATGTTTCCAATCCTTTCTTCGTTGTGCCGCCGGGGATGAGCTTGAGAGTAAGGTCCTTTGCATCAACAAACTTGAAAGTGTTAGGGTTCTCTGCCATGATGGCTTGCTTGAGTTCATCAACTGAACGATTGGAAAGAATGTTTACAGAAAAAGGCGCTGCTTCTCCATCAACAATACAATAAATCTTTAGGTTGGTTGGCTCTTTCTCAACCTCTCTTTCTCTTTCAATCGAACCACGTCTAGATGGACCATTTGGTGTTGTTGTTCCACTTCCCATTGTGATTTCAAAACTGTTTAAAAACAAGGGCGTAAATGGACGGAGGACAGAAAATAGGAAAAGGTTGATAAAAATGTTAAATGATGATAATTCAGTAGCAGGACGGTTCAAAATTGTCTAGAGATGATGTTGAGGGAGGAAAAGAAAAAAAGAAAAAAAAAATGAATGAAGGCTTGGAATAAATGAAAAAGGAAGAGGAGAAGATATGTAAGAAAAAAGTGAAAAGAGGAAAGTGCAAAAATAAAGTGGAGCAAGTTAAAGAAAGGAGCGACAATTGATAAATTTGTTTCTTTATTTCAAGGTTGGGCTATGCTGTGTGTGAGAAATTTTTTTTTCTTGTTACACAAGACGCCATGCGATTAAAGATTAAATTGGCCCCGAGTGTGACAGAACATGTATTATTTAAATACACAAACACTATTCGTCTCTTGTTTTCACCACACAATCGAAAGTGTGCACATCCACCTTTTTACTTGTTCAAAGGTAGAATGACGCCTAGCCAATGGATGCTATTGCAAGTGTGTCCACAGGTCCTTGGAGAAGTTCATTGAGGAAACTCGGTTCCATCCTGGACAGGTTTATTCCTAGCGCTCTTCACAAAAGTAGCAGAATTGCTTGGTGGAGTTGGCTTTAATTGCCTTGACAAGCTCCTGCAAGATTGGTTCGACAATCTAATCAGGGCCCTTTCGGAGCGGCATCAAAGCAACTCTATGTTTTTGGTTGTTTTGAACGAGGCGCAGGATATGGGGAGGGGAGGCTAAATACCAGTTCATTAATAACGACGACACTATGCAACCAATATTATCAGCATTCTTTCATGAATTGGAGGGCTTATCAGAGGATTTACCACGAATTTGCATAGTTCCTTGCGGGATAGGCTTTTGTATTTATGATCCTGCTTGGGTTAAGAGAACTGGTAAAGCTTAAGGAATATCGGGAAGTTCTCGATGACTCGAGGTTCAAGAGTGCAGTATCGTTTCCTAGTTGGGATAATCAAGCAAAAGTCCGGACATACTTCAAGACACTTGTACAATATTTGGAGAAACAAAGTTCCTTAAGCTCTGCATCAAAGCTGAGAGGCCATTTTAATGATCAAGCAATCGAGATGCTATATGCTTGGTCCTGTGCTCGTCTCCGTCCAATGATTACTATAATAGAGAACGTCATTGGACATGCCGATGCAGGCCTTTGGAAACAAGAGATCAAGGACCTGGTGTGGTCGCTCACTGACCCAGGATATAAAGAATCTGGCAACCTATGCCATGAGTAATCTAGAATTTTGAAGCGTATTAACAAAGGGGATGCAGGAATTAAAACCAGTGTCGACATCAGAGAAGCCTTCGGTCGAGCCATAAAGAATAGATTACTATATAGTAAAGACTTGATATTGGAGTACAATGAGCCTGTTCCGGTCGAGGCTTCGTTTGCTCGAATTGTTGTTAATCAAAGGAAGAAGGAGTTTACAATTATCGTTGAGCCGATTGCATTTATAGCAGCAATTAACTTGTTTGAAATGTATGACCAAGTTAATCTCGCTTTTTTTTGTTTCCAAAAGAGAACCCGTCTGGACCAGATAACGTCTTTGTACTGGAATCGGAGGGTAAATATTATCCTGTTTCCGTACAGCCAAAAATCGGCGATAAGGTCAAGAATTAAGGATGCCCATAATACAACTTGCCATAATTGCATCAAGGAACACCTCTCATCACCGTCTTCTCTCGGCTTTTGCTCGAATGACATATCCTTGTTGCTGTTGTTTAGGCCTTACTTATCATGTTGCCTTATCATGTTGTCTTATCACGAACAGGGGGATTATTCAGTAGCTAAAGTCAAAGAAGTCCCTGCCATCAAAGACAAACGAATAGAAACGATGTGCTCAATATTAGCTTGTTGAACTTCCTTGAAAGTGCAAGGGAGTCCCTCAAGAAGTCAGAATTGATCCGAGTTGTGGAGGATGAGGGAGAAGGAAGCAAGCCCAAAGAACCACAGGCAAGGAAGACATCAAAGAGAATTGTCGATAAAGCTCAAGTTATGGAAAATAAGGAAGAGTTTGAGCAAAGCCAGCGGATCAAATAAAAGAAAAAGTGAGTCGACTCAAGCAGAGGACGACAAGTCCAATAGGTCAAGCAGGGATAAGAAACCAAGGAAAAAGTAGCGATCGTTTCTTTTACTTCTTTTTACTCGCCATTGTTTATGACAATGGCACAGACACAATTTTGTAATATCACACTAATAGATAAATTAAAATATCACTATTCAGTAAACCTGAGCAAGGAGAAGTGGGCACACCAAGCGGATTGCCACAGCGGCTGCATTATCGGAATTTTCTCAAGCAAGTGGCAAGTTGTTTCTATTGTCTATTCCTACCTTTCCACCCATAAGTTTTGTGTTGGAACCCGACAAGCCATTCCAGGTCACATCAGAGGAGCATCCGATCAAGCAAGCATCATTCAAGGAGATATTCGATAATATTACTGGATCCTGCTTGAAGTGAAACCGATCAAACCTCGGAGAAAAGTGACAATATCACATTCCTCTGTTTCATGGCCCCAGGCGACATACAGGTCAAGCTTAAGATTCAGAAGCTCGTTATCAACAATGATCAGAATGTTGAGGCAACACCTAGATATTTAAAACATGCGGGACAGTGTGTCATAAAAACTCACATCAATACCGCATATGCAGGAGGATCGCCGAGGTTCAAGCATGAAGAAAAGAGTCGAATGTCAGTCAAGTGAAAGGAATTTTGTCTTGTAATGAAAATACCATATCTATTGAGTATTCTTTACAATCGTTCATCCTTTATGAACGAAGCCATCACTATCCACTTACCCTTTTGACAAACGGGATGGCGCTTTTTAATCGGCCCTACACACACACCCAAATCACTAGCCTCATTTTTACCAATCATCTCTTGTTTCCATCACCTGCATTGACATCTATTATTCTAACATTTTATTATTCTAACATTTGAATCTACTCCACAATTCTCGCCTTTCTCCCGATAGCAAGAGATCGTTTTATGAGTTTACAAACCTCTCTCAAACCGCCTGTCGAGAATCGAGAAAAGATCCTACAGCTTGAGCAGCGAGTTTTCGAGGAATTCCTTCAGCAACGTATCCAATATGCATCCGAATGCCCAGTGTCGGAGGATCAATGCCGAGTCCTAAGTTCATCACCCAAGTCTAAGGCGTCACTACACATTGTTATACAACATCAACCTATCTTTAAGAACAACAACCAGCATGTGCCTAAATTTATGTGGGACTTCAAGGTTGCAAGGGTTAAGCAAGATCAATATAAGGACAGTCTAGGCGACTACATTGACATGGGCGTACATAGCAAGAGTAGGGGGATCCGGTGTCTGGGAAGCTGCTAAGGTATTATATTCCTCATGACTCGAGACTTTTAGTCAAGTTTTATTGTTTTGAATCCTGTCCATTCGAAGAAGTCAGGATGCTAACCAATCCCGCTAGATACGATTAGGCATCGAACAGTGGGGGGGGGGGGGGGGGGGGAGGGGCAACAGAGAATATGTACACTTTCATTTATATTCATATGGGGCTTTGGCAAAGGTATCCAACTTGGCGCTACGGATTAATATGCACAGAATCTCTGATCCAAGCAATAATCGTCGCTTTAAGGATTGCTTACAGTTTTTTCTATCCAGGGAAAGTTTTTGGGGGGGCGCCAAATTCGAGTCCTCCAAAGAACGAGTTTAATGATCACATTAATTTAACCCCGTTATTTATAATATTTTTTTTCGATTCAATGATCAGGCAACCTTTTGGACTCGATAAAGACCATTAATTATTAGCATTCCCCTCCATGTCGATGAATTTCAGCTTATTGACCAAGGGCGATGAAAGGAATAAGAAGGAAGGAAGACCAAAGGCTGATCTCTTCCAAAACTTAATCAACCCTCTTGGTGCATTCATGATAGATATCATCTTTATTCAGGCATTCTGATCAGGAACGGTACTCCTGCATGCATTATCACGTCGGCAGAGGAAGCATCAGATTAGTTTAGTGAACTTTCCTTGATTGTCGCGCAAGGTCATGTTTGAGTTTGTCGATCGGGTTTGAATACAAATGCAGAAAAATACGAATCCGGGAGTCTATAAACGAGGAAATCTATAAACATTTCCTCTGGCCTTTGGAGGATACAGGAGGACTGTCTCATCCAGCCAATATTCTTTTTCAGGAATGTTTGAAGTCTTTGAGATAAAACAGACTTTTGTTTAATGCGTATCACTGTCACGACATTGAATGAGTTTGATTCGCGTGCGCAAGGAACAGAAGCAATGGTGCAGTTGTTGTCAACACAGCAAAGATGAAGAACAACGGCTGTAATGTTTCTCGTTGAATTGTTTGAAGTTGCTCCCCCCCTATTAACTGTTTATTGTCATTTGTATCTCAGAACGGGTTTTTATTGGGCGGGTAAAAATACACACGGCGTATGCTTATCGCGTCGTCGTCCTTGTGAATATTTTTAATCTTTGTTTGTTTGTTTGTTTGTTTGTTTTGTTTATTTTTATACATACACAGTCTAGATTGACAGAGGGGAAAATAAAAAAAAAAAAAAAAAAAAGAATCTCGTTTTTTTTTTTTTTTTTTCTTTACGAGTCAAACTGGTAAAGTTTGTTTTTGTTGATTGAGATGGGTGGTTGTTTGCTTAACTTGAGGGCTTCCTGTTGAGCTTGTGTTAGGGTATGGTAGACAATGATTGTCTCTTGTCCGTCCTGTGGCTCCTTTTCTGTTTCTACACAGGCCTGTTTTGGATAGATATAGCTCGAAACAGAGACCTGTCCACATCCATGCTGGATCACCGTCTCTGGATAGCCAAGACTCACAGGCGAATATCCCAGTTGGGCCATCCGTGAGCTGATCGCCATGGGATTTGAATAAAGGGGCATGTCCGAGTACCTCTTTGAACTCGCTGGGATCCTTGGACTGAGTCCCAAGAAGGTCCCTGCGCGGGACAAGATTCCTGAATTAGCACTGGCCACCTGTCGCTTGAGCGCAGTACGAGCGTTCTGATCACCCATGTTCTCCCTCGCCAGAGTGTTGCGGGTCCGACGCTTGCGTCGATGGACCAACAGATAGAACGTTCCACCCACAATCGCAACTGTAACCAAGAATGCAATACCAAGAACTGCACCCACCCCAAGGCGGCCTTCCTTTTCAGTCTCGATGTCATTCGATGGACGATTCATCCCAAGGGGTTTATATTGTTTTGTCCAGGTATTGGTGGTCGTGTCAAAGAGAGCAACGTGATTAGTCTCTGACTGTGAAGATGAACCTAATAAAAGCATTTTTTTTTTTTTTTTTTTTTTTTGTTTTTTTTTGTTTTGTTTTAGTCGTTGTTAGATCATTGTAACGTTATGTAGTTTCGCCATTTCCATTACTATTTTTCTTATTAAATGAGCACATTAAAAAAGATGTGCTCACATTATGGAACATCCTAATATGCTAGGGGGAAGGCTCAACAAAATTCGGAGATGATGATGTTTTTCTTACCAAAGGCTACCACCATGGATGTTCCAGCCATCGTGGCGGTGTGGCCCCACCGCTGAGGTGCATCCCCTTTGACTGTGGGAGAAGACCAAGTCCAGGTGGGGAGGTCAAGGTAGAAAGGAGTTGAAAGGGCAGTTTTAAAGTCTGTGGTACCACCGTAGACTAGCATAGTCGTTGTGTTGACAAGGACGGTTGTGAAGGACATGCGAGGATCTGGAGGAGTTCCTTGGAGAGATATTGCCTTCCATTCTCCCCGAGTGGTCTGTGTGTCAAGAACATAGGCTATAGATAGGTTAGCGACGATCCCTTGTGAATCAACACCGCCTAAAATAACTGCATGTCCACCGGTGGTCAGGGTCATGGTATGACGTGCTAGTGAAGGCGCGTTTGTTGCAAGGGAGACAGGTGAGGTCGAGATGGGTCGGAAGTTGTTGGCTCCCTTGAGGGTGACCAAGGTGGGGACAACGGTGCCATTTTTGGCAGAGTTTAGGTAACCACCTTGGAGCAAGGCACCGTCCTTGCCTGTGCTGGTGGAGGCATGGAAGAGTCGATGGAAGGTAGCGGTTTCGTTGGCGGACAAGGGCGGTGCAGACCAGCTGCCACTGCCATCCTTTGAAGGTTCATAAACAAAGATAGGGGCGACTTTTGTTGTGGACTCACCCCCGGCGACGAGCAGCTGGGGTGTTCCCTGAACAGTGCTCATAGAATGACCACTGAGTGGAGCTGGCATGGGATCCAGTTGGGTGAATGCGGGATCGTCTATTGTCCATGGACGGGTAAGATCTAAGGCAAGAGCTTCATCGAGAAAAGTTTGTTTCCCAGAACTACTTTGAGCCGTTCCGCCTGTGAAATAGATGGTTGCCTTGGTAGCAGCCTGGGTCAAAAAAAAAAAAAAGCAAAAGCAAAACAAAACAATCAATCAATCAGAGGAAGGATGGACGGAATTAGGAAAGCATATTCATATCGTTTTGATGGGAGAATAACTCCTTTCTTTGTCAACGAAAAAAGATTGTTTATACAAGGAAATAGAAAAAAGAAAAGAGGCAAAAGTAAATAAATGATGATAATAATAAATTAAAAATAATAAAAAATTATGCTTACAGCAGCATGGAACCACCGTGGCGAAATGTTACTCATGAGTGTGGATCACCGTTTAATATGACAAGACTACGAAGGGGGAAACGGAGAAAGTGGACAGATGTATGCAAAGGTAGCGTAAAAGGGAAAAAAAAAAAAAAAAAAAAAAAAAAAAAAAGGGAGGAAGAAGGAGGATACGCGTGGAAAAAAAAAAAAAAAAAAGAAAAAAAGAAAAAGAAAAAAAGAGGGATGAGTGAAGTGATGAGACAGAGTGTTTGTGAGACAGAAAGAGTTGATGTGCCTGAGCAAGAGTGTTTGTGAGAGAGGAGTAAAGGTCAGAAGGGAGATGGATGCTTAGAGATGAGGAAGGATGAAGAGATTAATGAATTAGAGAATAAATTAATGGAGGATTAATGCAAAGAGAGATGAAGAGGAATAAAAAAAAATAAAAAATAAAAGAGAGGAAGGAAGATAGGGCAGATGGATTCTCACACAGCAAAGCAACATCAGACCATCCACATGCTCTCCTTCGCTCCTTGCCCGTCCATTGCTCCATTTGGATTTATTTACATTTGCATTCACATCTTACTCGTTTCACATTCCGTTTGAGCAATTGGACGATTTGATGGTCAATATCTGTGTATCCTTTGTATCTTTGTATCTGTGTGAATGTGTGTATCTGCATCGCATCTGCGCCAGCATCTGCTCTGCTTTGTTTTTTTTGCTGTCTCTGTGGCTATCCATTTCATCAGCCTTTTTTTCTTCTTTCTTTTCCCCCTCTCCCTCTCCCTTTCCCTGCTCTTCTTCCTCTTCTTCCTTCCTTCCTTTATCCTTTTATCCTTTTATCCTTTTCTATCCATCCTTCATCCTTTCTATCTTTTCCCCCTCCTATCCTTTCGACAACACCCTTTTCTTCTCTCCTTATTTTGTTATCACTATTTGTCATTTCAATCCTGATTCTCCCCTTTCTCCGTCTCTATCACTATTCTCCTCTTTCCTCTTTCCTCTTTCTTTTCTTTCTTTCCTTTCTTTCATTCTTTCATTCATTCATTCATTCTCATTCCCATCAAATCCTCCTCATCCACACCCACAAAAAAAAAAAAAAAAATCAAAACCTTTGGCTTTCTTTTGGGTGTCCGTGTGTGAGTGTGTGTGTGCTCTCTTCCCAAAAGGTATTATCCTCATGACTAAACCCTCATGCAGATTCCTTCTTTCCATTCGTCCTTCCATCCAATCCACTAGTCCATATATATGAGAGCACCTTTCTCCACTCTTGCTCATCATGACTTCACCTTTTCAACTCTCCAGACTGTCCTACCGACTTTGGGACTCTGCCTGATTTGATGAAAAGGAGTAACGATAATCCTCTTGTCTCCTTTACCCTCTTACTTATTCCGTACCATTCTTTTTTCTCATATCCATTCTTTCTCCAACTATTTATCTATCCCCTTTTACCTTCACATCCATTACACTCCCTATCAGCTCTTTGCTTTTCATTAATCGCATTAAGCACTGACAGTGTTGAAATAGCCCTCTTCTTCCTCTCTCCTCTTCATCTACTCCACATCTATCGAAAGGGGGTAAAGGAGTTCTTCAGTCTTTTCTCCATACACCTATATCCATTAGTACCCACGTCCCCAATGAATCAATGTCAATTTGTGCCCGGAAATAAAGCCAGAGTCCTTTCGAAAGCTCAAACATTCACCCTTAATCTTAATGCATTCATTAGATAATACAGAACAAACCAACCCAATCGACCTTGGGATCTCGCACGCATGCAGACAATTCAGGAACCTTCTTATCCTCTCTCTGCAAGGCTGACAGGTTCTCAGCCAAGCTCGGGAACAGATCCTGCACCATGGATCCCTCCTCGTCCTGATCTGTCCAACAGAGCCAACTTGCCACAGAATCCTTTTCATCAGCAACAACAACAACAACAACAACAACAACAACAACAACAACAACAACAACAACAACAACAACAACATCAGCAACAACAACAATATCCTCTACCATCTAAACAAAACTCTGTTTCATCAGTCCGTTCTGGAACTTCCACGTCAGGTCAAGTCAATGCAGGTTACATTACTCAAAAACCGGCCTCATCATCAGGCCCGACCTCTCCTCTTGGTCAAACACCTCATCGCACAGGCAATCGCAAGATGACCGCTGGTACGTCTCCTCTTACGTCATCGCCACTCACCTCCTCCCCACTCGCATCCTCCCCGCTCGCGTCCGTGTCACTTCGTCCTAGCAAGATCAAACCAAAGCCTGATATGCCAACGACATTACCTCCGGAATCGGTGTGCGAATGCTTTATCTGTCATTCAGTCTCACCCTACAGCCAACAACCCCCACCAGAGATCCCGGTCAATCAACGACAGGAGCTTTCACGATTAGCGCCCACGTGTCCTTCGATCCACCTCTTTTGTCTAGCGTCCAGGATACCCATGTCATTGCCTTTGGATCTGAATCAGAAATCACCCTTGACCCGATCTATCCTCGACTATTTCTACTCCACCTGGGTGACGGATGATGATGACACTCGCATCCCCCGAGTTCAGTGCCTCAACTTTATACCCATTCATCCAATCACAGCGTCGTGCTTTGATCGTTATTTAGAGGGTCAGAGCTGGAGCAAGCGTATTTGTCGACCTCTGTGGCATGCTTCTGACCTTCGGTGCAAACTTGGAATGGAGGGCATGTATCGTAACTGTATGCAGGACAAATGCACGAGCTGCTTCATCTTTAATGATGGTTTTGAGAATACCATTGCAAAGTAAGTTTTTTTTTTTTTTTTTTTTTTTTTTTTCTCCTTTTTCTTCTCTTTTTCTTTCTCACCTAGATACTGAATCATCCATCTCTCTCATTTTTTTTTTTAAAAAAAAAAAAAAAAAAAACTCTAATAGAAACAAGTATGTTTATCTGTCACCTAATTCGTCACGAGCTCATGATCATATGATTGCGTTAAGGAGTTCAACTGCTGGGAAGGGAGATGGAGATTTGGACACGGACAATAAGGTGCAGTGCATGATTCTAAGTTTTGCAGCTCTTGGACATACCTATGATATGCCTCCGAGTCGTGAAAAGATGAAGAGACCACCCAAGGGATTTGATGTTGTACGTCGGCAATATGAGATGAATGGTGGAAATGGCAACAGCAGTAGTACCAGTAGTCGTAATAGCGATAGTTCTGTTGCGACATCGGGTGAAGAGTATGGAGTTTTTGCAGCAGATGCAATTGTGCCGCTTGTGATGGTTCTTTACAAGGTGATTTGAATAGGAGAAGGGAAGAGGTAGGAGGGCGGAGAAGATCTTGTCTAATACTTTTTATGTACTCTCTTGTTTAATAACCCATACCAAGCATTAATTAAAAAAAATAAAATAAAAAAAAGGTGGCATTCTGCATGGCATGACACGTTGACTTGATTTGCATGTAGCTTCTCGTATTGACCGTGCCACAGCGCAGTAGAATGATGCTGTTGTCGTAGCTTAAAAGAGTTTTTAATTATAAAAATAAAACGTGGCATGCCATGTACTGTACAGGATAAGAATAAGAAATAGAAAAAAAAAGAAGTATAAAATGTAGAAGATGCAAGAGAAGATGGTCGAAAAAAAAAAAAAAAAATTAGGCTTGGTCGCTCTTCCGAGGCAAAGTGACAGCTCTAATGTCGTACGAAGTATTTTTTTTTTTTTTTTTTTTTTTTTTGCACGGCGTCTCCCCTTGCCCCTTCTTCTTTGCCCATTTTTTAAAAGAGCTTCGTTGTATACAGAGTTGGGAGTTTTTTTTTTTTTTTTTTTTTTTTTCCTCATTTTCATTCATCATTGTACTAACTGTGTTACTGTACATCTGTTACATCATTTCATCTTACAATTCATCGTTTGACTTCTTCAAATCAGGAACGCCGTTGAAGTGTCTGCAGCTCTTGTTTCTGATTCATAAAATTCTGTATTTGATAAAAAAAAAAAAAAAAAAGAAAAAACAATAGCAGCAACAGCAAAAAAAAAAACCTCGACATTAAACCTGAGGACTATTGATCTATCCTATCCTCGTATTGTACCTTTGATACTTCTCGCTCCATATTTTTCAACCGCGCTTCTACGTTTCTTTATTCTCATGTTTCTGCTCAAGAAAAAAAAAAAGAACCAAGGAAATGAGGTGGCGTCAGCAGCTCCAAGTGTCAGCCAGGCTCTCTCACCAAGTCTCGTTCCTGCTCCAGTAGCAGCAGCTCAAACACCGTCACCTTCCTCTGCCTTTGCCAATCCTTCAGCTGCTACTTCTCCTTATCCTTATTCTTATCCTCATCCTCCAGCCTTGATCTCAACTGCCTCGTTCTCAACAGCAACTGGGCAACCCGTGGGACAGAATGGCTTCTATCATGGCGCTGATGACAACGTCAAGGTCCATGTTCCAGCCAACTCGTCACCAACGCAGCCTACAACTGCCTATCAAACAACATCAGTACAGCAGCAACATCAACATCAACAATACCTGCAACAGCAATACCCACAGCAACATCAGCAGTACCAGCAACAGCATACGTTTAATTCGTTCCATCAAGGGGATACACAGTTACAATCCTACTATATAGCTCCTCCTCCAGCTACCGTAGGTACTCTTAATTCACCTGGTCCAAACAAGCCAGGTGAACCACAACTGATTCCAGACGCACCATTGATCAAATCCATTAACGGCCAGGAATATGTCGATCGAATTGAGCCTCGTTCGCCTCAATATACTGGAGATATCACCCTCACCAGCACAGCGCTAATCATGACAGACACGATCCGACACCCTACTCATATACCATCCTCATATGTACACTCGCTCAGTCCAGTACCTTCACCGGCAGCTGTAAAGAATTCGCCTCAAACGTCGCATAGTGGCGCGAGCTCTCATAATAATAGCCCAATGCCTCCTGTAGTCATGCCTGGGGGAACACCCTCAACATCATACATGAACAATACTCTCTACCATCCACCTCCACCAACAACACCTCAGATGCAACAGCAGCAGCACCACCACCACCACCACCACCACCACCAGGCTTATCCGACAACAGGTGTTGTTCAACCTTGGTCTTCGCCCGATATTCATCCTTCAACAACAACAATAGCAACACCGACAACAACGGCATCCACACCCCCCCAGCAATATATCCAATCTTATTCTATGATGGGAGGCGAGAATACAACTTATCCTATTATCATGGCTATTGATTGGGGTACGACCTATTCTTCTATGGCGTACGCATACCAGCAAGACGGCGAAGTTCATGAGATCTCTACATGGTAAGGAGGAAAAAAAAAGACAACAAAAAAAGAGAAGGGGAGAGAGAACTGATGAGAAATAAGCTTAATTTTATTTTATTTTATTTTATTTTATTTTATTTTATTTTATTTTATTTTATTTTATTTTATTTTGTTTTGTTTTGTTTTTAGGCCAAAACAATCGCATAATTATCCCAAGGTGCCAACATGTAATTTATATGGACCTGGTTCCAAAGAAATCTTGGAATGGGGCTACACTGCCAAGGCAGCCATGACGAAACCACCCTATAAACATCATATTCTGCTCTCAAAATATAAACTGCATCTGGATGAAGCCTCAGGACCCCATACACCTTTACCGAATGGACTGACAGTCGTAGATGTTATTGCTGACTATCTACGTTTATTCCATGCACATGTTTTGCAGGTAAAAATGAAAGAAGCTTTTTTTTTTTTTTTTTTTTTTTTTTTTCCTTCTGCGCTTTACTTTAGACTGACAGGTGGAACTTTTTTTTTTTTTTTTTTTTTATAACTTTTCTTGCCTAGACGGTTCTGAGAGGTTTTGGTTCAGCATTTGAGCAACAGCATATTCAGTATTGTCTATCAGTTCCAGCCATGTGGACGGATTATGCCAAGGCGATCATGAGGCAGGCGGCATTACAGGCAGGGATGATCACACCTCTGGACCCACCGCATCGACTGCTTTTGATTTCAGAGCCCGAGGCTGCGGCGCTCTACTGTGAAAAGAAATGTGATCAATTTTCGATTGGACATGGAGAACGTTTTATGATCTGTGATGCTGGAGGAGGTACCGTCGATCTGATTGTCTTTGAAGTGGCTGTAAGTCCCCAAGGTCGGACATTGAGGGAAGTGACACGTGGAACTGGCCATAGCTGTGGATCCATCTTTTTAGATGAACGGATGGAGGGCCTATTACGACAGAAATTCTCTAAATGGGGTAATGATCGTCCGTTGACACCAGCAAATTGGGTTCAATTGATGGACACCTTTATCCATAATATAAAGCCACAATTCGATGGAGTGGATGATCAATATCTGAGTATGCCAGCAGTTCCAGGACGTGCCGATTTGACAGATTACGACATTGGTCTTGAAGATGGAGTGTTGACGATCACAGCCGAGGAGATGAGACGGGAGGTGTTTGATCCGGTCGTGGATGATGTGTTGAGGCTGATCCAACACCAGTTACAACAGACCCTTTTCAACTGTCAGGCCATTTTCTTGGTGGGGGGATTTGGATGTTCAGGTTATCTTTTGACAAGAGCACGATCGGAATTTTCATCGATGGTTCGAGTGATCACAGTGCCTCCTCGTCCAGAATTAGCAGTGGTCCGTGGAGCAGCTCTTGCAGGGATCACCCCACGGGTTGTGCAGGCTCGTGTGGCTCGACGATGGTATGGCGTGGATTCATTGATGGCTTTTGAAGTAGGAGTTGATTTGCCTCATAAACAAGTCCAGGACCATGAGGGTCAGATCCGAGCCAAGGATCGGTTTTCGGTGTATGTGGCGCCGGGGCAACAGATTGGAGTAGATGAATGTATCACGAAACGGTTTGTGACATACCAATACCCAAAGCCAATCAGTTCACCGTTGTATGCAAGCTCATCATTGACAATGCCGCGGTATGTGGATGGTCCGATGGTGGAGAAGATTGGAGACTTTACGATCCCGTTACCCCATATCCCCGGAGCCCAACCAGGTCATAAGATTATGTTTGAATTACGCATGTATTTTGGAGCGACGGAAATTAGAGCAGAAGCAGAGGTCAATGGTATGGTTGTGAGTACCCGCTGTCAGTTCACTGGATAACAAATGGTAATAGTAATAATAACGATAATAATAATAATAATTAAAAAAAAAAAAAAAAAAAAAAAAAAAAAGTATGCGTAGAAGATGGATGGTAAATGGCTTATTAATAGAGATAAACATAATGATAGAGTCCAAAAAGTCGTAAACTAATATATTTTTCAAGATTTTAAATTGAATAAAATACTCCCATTTTTAAACACCGAAAAAGCACGTACAAAACTCAAAATTTTAATTTTTTCGAAAGCGTTTTCTATTATCGATGAGACGCTCCTCCTCAGACTCACTATCCTCCACTAAATTGAATACGGTTCCAACATCTTGGACAAGATCCTCTATCTCAGACTCTAGTGCAACGGCATCGGCTTCATCTTGGTTCACTACTCTATCAAGTTCCATGTCCCACTCGTAGCTGTCCACTCTAATCGTGTCTTCCAAGTCCTCAACAGGCTCCTGTTCATCAGTGGCCTCTTGATAAACTTCTTGATCAAAGGTTTCTGCTTGTACACGACCTCTCTCATTGTAGTACCTCATACCAATTTTCACAGATTTTTTCCATACAGAGTAGAAGACTCTACAAGGAATCTGGGCAAACAAACTGAGTAGCCTTTTCTTAAGTAACAAGGCTGTCATTGTCGTCCCATATATTTTTTTAAATAAGCTTTATTGATTTAAAATATTTGTACGTAAATTTCTTATTTCAAAGACCTCAATTCAAATTGAGTATTTTAAAAATATATTAGTTTACGACTTTTTGGCGAGGACTCTAAAGGAGGTCTCCTTTCTACTATGCATTTGCACTGTACACACATGCACCTGCACTTTAGTACATGTACGTTGATGGCATTATTAGTCTGAAATCATGTGGATTATAAATACTTTATTTTATTTTTTATTTTTTTCTATTTTCTTTGTACTCATGAGCAGTGGAATCCAACCCAAATCAATGGTGAACAAATCAAGCTGAAATCCTGAGAGGGAAGAGAAGAGAATATTTAGAATCGGACTTGAGTTAAGCGATATTCCATAGTAGTAAAATAGTCTACTGTACATGTACATGTACAGAAGACATATGCACCTTGAACGTAAATAGCGGGCTTTTTATGCTCTTTCCTAAATGAGGTATTTTTTGTCCAATGTTATCCTCCAAAAAAGGATCATGGTCCGTGACCTTCCCCCATATACAACCTCCCTCTACTACACCAATCCCCCAACCACTCAACTACTCAACCACTCAACTACTCAACTACTCAACTACTCAACTACTCTATTATCCGACGGTTCAATTGCCTGTCCCTTCTTCCCTCTTCCTCTTCTAATGTAAATTTTATTTTTATTTTTATTTTTACTCTTCTTGCCTATTGCCTTCGTAAATTACCACGATGGTGATGACGGACTATCTTGTCTACCTTCATTCTCCAGAAAGATAATAGTAATAGTAATCGTAATAAAGAATTGATATCTAGGAACTATAAAGGGATAGCTTGTGGTGCGTCTAAAAAATCTATTTTATCTATCTTTGACCTAAAAAAACTGCAAAACACGCCCTAAAAAAAACGCTCTAATACTTTATGCATTAGTGGTTCATGGAGCTAGGTGGATGGTGGATAAATGACCTTACTGCCTTTTTTTTTTTTTTTTTTTTTAATTTTATTCACTCATTCTTTCGCGTCCTCATTCCTGGTCCTGGTCCTGGTCCCGTTCCTGTCTATGTTCCTGTTCCTGTTCCTGTTTCTTTTTTCGTTCTTTTTTTTTTTTTCTCTCTTGTCATCATTCATATACTCTTTCCCTGTTTCTTTCCCTACTCTCCTTTCATATGTATATATATATATGAGTAGGTTTTTCTTTTTCCTCCTTTTTTTTTTTTTTTTTTTTCTTTATCTTAAATCCACGCTCTCTATTTCCTCTCTCTATTCCTCTCTCGCTCTCTTTATCTCTCTCTCTTTTTTCCTTTTCTTTATCATTCTTTTTTTTTTTTTTTTTTCTTCTTTGCCATTGTTCATTCACTCATTCACTCATTCATCTATTCATTCTCATTGACTAATCAATTCATGTTCATTACGCGCGCAAATTTTACTTGTTTTTAATCAGAAACCTTGTGTCACTTGTGGCACATTCCTTTAATACAGGACGCGTTCCCTACCAACCTTATTTGGTTTCACTTTATCTATACGAACCCCTACCCTCCTTTCCTCATCCTCTCTCTCTCTCTCTTTATTTTTATTTTTTTTTTTTATTTTTTTTTTGTTTCTTTCTAACCTACTGCTCCACTTCGGTTCTATAATCGCACAGTCAGCAAAATAAGGAAAAGGAGATAAGGAAAGACAAGACAAACGACGGCCTACGAGGGATTTAATAACGACGACAACAACAACAACAACAACAACAACAACAATTGTAATAATAATAATAATAATAAACGAAAGCCAGAGAAATGTCACTTGAGGTAGCTCTGGATCCAGCACCTGAGCATGTAGCATATGCATTACTGGGCTGCTTCATTATCTTTTTCGGGCTAGTCAGCCTATTTGTCAAGGAGAAGTTGTTTATATCCGAGGCATGTAAGTCTGATTTAGTATTTTGTTATTATATTTAATAATAATAATAATTATTATTATTATTATTATTATTATTATTATTATTATTATTATTATTATTATTATTATTATTATTATTATCCCTTCTGTCTGAGAGAAGGTATTGTGATGATCCCTCCCTCCTTTTTTCCCCTTCTCCTATCTGCCTGATATGTAATAGATGGGCTTTCGTTTTTTTTTTTTTTGTAAAAGAAAATCAAATAATCAGACAAGGTCGTATTTGATTAGTGTTCTTTACGGTCCTTGCATATCTTCGCATCTCTTTCCCACTACAATAATGCACTGTAATTGCTGAGCTATTTTGTTAAGAGATAGCCCTTTTGGTCTTTTCACCCTCAGGGATGGGGATGTGTGTGTGAATTAAGGGATTTTTTTTTTTTTTTTTTTTTTCTTTAAATTGTGCTCTTGCGTTTGTGCATACATTGCTGTGTAATATCTATTTTTTCTTTTTTGTCCATGTGGACTAAAAAAAAAAAAAAAAAAAATTATATCCATTTTTGGAACTTTCTAACCGTAGGATCTTTATGTGTTTTTTAATAATAATAATAATAATAATAATAATAATAATAATAATAATAATAATAATAATAATAATAATAATAATAGTTGTATCCACAGTATTCGGAATCATCATTGGACCCTATGCTCTTGGGATCTTTGATCCATTGTCTTGGAAGGAATATGATACCGTAACGCTCGAGTTCACAAAGATCGTGATCGCTGTCCAGGTCATGGCTGCTGGCGTTTCTTTACCAAGGTAAGAGAGGGAGAGGGGTGAATAAATACAGCATGAAGGAAAACCCACCCGGCAGAAGCAGAAACAGGATTGAATCCTAATGCTAATGCTAATGCTAATGCTAATGCTAATGCTAATGCTAATGCTAATGCTAATGCTATTTATTACCAAATCCCGCTATTTTAAAAAATCAATCACTAGATCCTATATGCTGAAGGAAAAGCGATCCCTTGTCATGATGATAGTTCCATTGATGATCCTCATGTGGCTTACTTCTGCAACCTTGATGTGGCTCCTGATCCCAGATTTGAGCTTTGTAAAGGATTTTTATATTCATGTCGAGAAATATATAAAAAAAAAAAAAAATAAAGGAAATTAACGATCAAGCTTTATCAAAGACATTCTCTCTAACTTTTCTATTTTTTTTTTTTTTTTTTTTTTTTTTTTTCTTTATTTCGGGGGGGAATATTGTAGATCGAGTCCATGATAGTGGCAGCTTGTGTGACACCGACCGATCCAGTTTTATCAAATTCAGTGGTGAAGGGACGTTTTGCAGAGAAATATGTACCACCCAGGATCCGACATTTATTATCAGCAGAATCGGGAATGAATGATGGAATGGCCTTACCGTTTTTATACCTCGGGTTGTTTTTACTTCGGGAACAAAATGTGGGAATGGCGCTAGGGAAATGGGTCTATATGATTTGGCTCTACCAAATCTTGTTGAGTGTCACCTTGGGGGGATTGATTGGGGCTGGGGCCCGAAAGTTGGTCAAAGGAGCCAAGAACAGGAACTTGATCGATAAGGAGTCCTTCTTGGTCTTTTCCATTGCTTTGGCTTTGGCTGTCGCAGGGTGTGTGAGTATCCTAGCATCGGATGATCTGTTGGCAGTCTTTGTTGCAGGAAATGTCTTTGCATGGGAGTAAGTTTTTCTTTTTCTTTTTCTTTTTTTTTTTTGTTTTTTTTGGAGGAAAAAGTTTCGCCATGTTACCCAGTTCTTTTTTTTTTTTTTTTTTTTTTTTTCTTCTTCTTCTCCTAATGTTTAACGTTATTGTTTTTCTGCTTTATTTTATTTTAGTGATTGGTTCTCGAACGAAATTGCAGAAGCTCATATCCAGGAGATCATTGATATGTTACTCAACTTGGCGTGTTTTATCTACATTGGCGCATCTGTCCCGTTTTCACAGTTTCATGATCTGATGTTGGAACTCTCTGTCTGGCGGTTGATTGTTCTGGCGATGCTGATCCTATCGCTTCGACGAATGCCCTTTGTGGTGGCCATGAAACGGTTCGTCCCTGCTTTGACCACCTATCGGGAAGCGGCCTTTGCAGGATGGTTTGGACCCATTGGCGTAGGAGCCATGTATCTCTCCAAGGTCACAGCCCAGGTGACGAACCCTGAAAAGCTGGGCGAGAATGCTTTTAACCTCGACCGTCTGTTACGCGTTCGTTCTGTGATCTTCCCTATCGTCATGTTTTTAATCTTCTCAAGTGTGTTGATCCATGGAGTGACAGTCCCGTTGTTACATCTACAATACAAGTATACGAGAACTTGGTCCAAGAAGCGAGAGGAGAGTACTCATGCAGTTTCAAGGTTACCTCATGTCAACATTGGAGACGACATCTTGATCCCGAGGGGAGCACCGGCCGCCCTCAGTAATGGGTCGTTGATCATGGCGGGTGAGGATTTGAAGCAACAGCAACAGCACCAATACTATCAGCAGCAAAGGCTGATGAACCATCCTTATGGAGGTTATTGTAGAGGAGAAGGAGTAGTAGGGTTTGGGGGCAACATGATGTCACCACCGTTAGGTCTGAGTAGAACCAACACTAATCACACGAATCAAACGAGGAGCACAAATTACACGAACCAAACGAGGACATTAGAATGCATGGTCCAAGGAATGAAGGAGTCAGCCAAGAAGAAGTGGCTGTTAGGACCTAATTCTAGTAACAATTCCGCTTCCTCTCTCTCACTTGGTAAAGGCAAGGGCGAGAGAGATACGACCGAGTCTCTACGCAAGAGTCGCCATGCTAGCCAAGAATTGAATATCCAGTCCGACTCGAATTCTGAAGCTTCTTCTTCTTCTTCTTCTTCTTCATCCTCAAATGGATCCTCAATGACAATCCAAATTCCTTCAGCAATATATCAAGAGCAGCAGCTACAACGACAACAACAGCAAAGGGATCAAAGCCATTGCGAGTCAGGATCATTAAGTAATCATTATCAGCTCTCTGCATCTAATATTTATGAAGTTAAATGTGAGAAAGAGGATCATGGCCTTGGAATAACCTGGACTGTGAACCATGAGGTTGAAGGACAAGGCCAAGTCAGGGTAGTGGAAGCGCTTGAGGACGAGGAGAAGGAGAAGCAGGAACGCAGGTAGAGAAGAAGCAAAAGCGGGAGTGACAATGACAATAGCAGATCTAAACCTTGGATCAAGGGACGTGAATAATCTTTATAAACTCGAGCCACTTTCTTTTGTAACAAAAAAAAAGCCCTTTTTGTAATTTCCTTTTTTTTTTATTTCCCTTGAAATGTAAAGTCTCTTAGATAAACCTCATCATGCCAATGAGTATTAATAAAGTACAGTCGAATTTTGATTATTCGAACGACTTTGCTATCGAAATCGTTCGGAAAAAAATTAGGTTATACATTCCCCCGGTTACTACTGTTATCGCCCACCAAAAAAAAAAAAAAAGGACCGCCGCTATACCACCACTATCAACAATTCCCTGTGATGAATGCGACTTTGGAAAAATTTTCCAGGTCGTTGAAGCGTTCATACATTGCTCATAAGCCACACAGACTGGTGGCAAGCAGAGATCTGAGCCTGAAGAGAAAGTCGATTTCCAGCACGTGCTGGAAGAAAACGAGCACAAACTTGTCGCTCATACAGCACAAACCTATTGCCCAAACAGCACAAGCTGATTGCCCAAACAGCGCGAACCTGTTCTGAAACAGCATGAACCTGTTCTGAAACAGCACAAACCTTTTCTAAAACAGCGCGAACCTGTTCTGAAAACAGCACAAACCTATTGCACAAACAGCGCTAACCTGAAGAAAAGCACACAGGCTTGTCCTTGAATAAAAAAAATCCACAATCATCTGCATGCATAACAGGCTTCTTCTCTTTTCGCACTACCATTGCCATTGCCATTCTCATTCAATTCTCAGAGAACCTTCTGCATCATCCCTAAAGACACGCTTACCACGAACAGTTGACAGATTAACTTTATTTGTCTGATCTTGTCTCGCAAAGCGGCCATGTACTTTAATAATTCAGTAAATGCTCGGCATCTCTGCCTCTGCTTTCTCTTTATTACTAATGTTGACTATATATAGTCAAAGCCAACTTCTACTTCCATAGCTAGGCTTCTATATCTCTTGAGAGGCTTCTATATCTCTATATCTCAAAGATCTTAAAGACCAATAATCATCGTCTGTGACGCCGAGTAGCACTGATACGATTGTACTAGATTCTTCTCTTGCCACTCTTTTTGGGTTTAGTAAAAGAAGTCTTGCCCTGGCTTAGCAATGCTGAAGTCCCTGTCCCTCAGGCACCATGGTTGTCACCCCGTGGAATATATACTTTATTCTTGAGGCAGATGTTAAGTGGTAAGTCATTAAAAATGGTATGAGAAAAAGTTTTTTATCATTTATTTCTTCAACCGGCATGGCGATACGGCATATTCTCATCGGGATATCAAAGTAAAATTTAAACATAATGCCATGTTAAAGTTGCTCTCTGGCCTATCCAATGTCCTATTAGTTGACTTGTCTTCTAACTCAAGAACACTCTCATAAAAGAAAGGGGTGAAACGCGCCCGACATCTGCTTGATCAATACATTCTTTGAAATTGATGAGTGGTTTGTAAATCCTCTAGTTGATCTTAGATATTAGCTTCGAGAATTAATAGATGAAGAATTACCACATTACGATGAGTAATCAGAAAAAAAGCTGCAAAGTCAAAGGAAGATGTCCTTATGTCATCACAACGGCCTAGGCCTCCGTCTGAGCATTAAAATATAGCGAGTTTCATTGATGGAGTCCAAAATATAGACGCATCTTTCAGAATAAAGCGATTAAAACTTAATATTGCCAATCACTTTATACTACTTTCACAAATAGTGGACAAAATACAACACTGTTGACGCTCAGTGTAGATAAAAACGCTTAATTTATTTCATTGTAAGTCTAACAAAGTCCGAATCTTCTCAAAGCTGTGACTAAAAATGATGTTGCGCACATTTCGATCACTGAGGTTGGTCCTAAGTGGAGAGAGGACTAGCCCTGCCTTACTGAACAAACGCTCAGACTCAGTTGATGTGGACTGGATACAGAGGTACGAGCACGCGAAGTGGGCAAGATCCCCAACTGAGATATTTTCATCGATACCATATGGCCTCCAATAGTCCTGAGGCTTATCTTTAAAGCGATCGTGATTGTAGTCCGGCGAGCGTACCGATGAAGCGTAGAGCTCTACCGCAAAATCCGAAGAGAAGTAGAGTATCTGATAATCACTCGTTTGCAACGGATTTTTTGTCACTGTATTATTCTCTTTGAATATCTTAAAGGCTTCGCTGCAGAGTTTTTTTGTTTTTATAAACAGACTTTCCCCACTAGCATGCATCGTATCCTTTAAGATCTCCCTCGATAAGGAGGAGCCGCTCGAGCTCTGCAGCCTTGAGCTTTTCGTCTTTGGATGCTGCCCTCATTAATTGATAGACCGCTGTAATTGCTTCTGAAACTTCAAGCACCCTTGCTGCCATGTTGAATTTTGAGTTCCATCGCGTGACATTCGTTGTAAGTAGTTTGACCAATTTTTTGTTACTTTTGCTACGCTGATTGTTAAGCATATCCATAGCAAGACTGGAGCTTCTGAAGAAGGTTGAGATCTTTTGGCATTTTTCCATCACCGCTTTAGCTCCAGAACTTCGTTCCAATGCCTTATTGATACACAGCTGTATTACATGGGAAAAACAGGGAAGCCAGGTAATACTCTTTTTTAGATTATAAAGTTGTATGGCTCTTTTTATGTTCGACCCTTGATCCGTTGTTGCGCAGATCAAATGCCCTTCCAAATTCCATCTTGCGATTACACGTTCTATAGAACAAATTCCAGGATTAAAAGTGTTATTTACATTGGTCTCAAACAGGCAGTAAACCGACAGAGCTAAAGCAATGATATTCTTACCAAGCTTTTCCAATAGGACTTCTGCCGATTGAGGGCCTTGGACTAGTTCCATGCCAATCACAACTGAAGCCGGCTGAAAGTCATGTGTTAGAAAGTGAAATGTTACTCTAAAGAACTTCCTTTGATCACCGCTTGTCCAACTATCCGCTGTGATTGCGCCTTGAATTTTACGATCAGTGATGTATCTCGATTTGCCTCCACATTTGCATTACACTTAAATCCATGTTTGATTGGATAGCGTCTGTGCTTGGAATTACGTATAATGAATTAAGTTGCAAACATATTGCCTTGAAAGAATCCGAGCCATTTAAATTGAAGGTTGCTCCGTTGTCGGCGATAAGCCTTAAAAGTAATTTCTCGAAGAACTGTTGTTCATACGGAAGTGGCCTCTTCATAGTCGTAAGAACAAATCCCTCTCTAGCCACTTCGAAGTTCCCCTGTGGTCTAGGGGACTCATCATCATCATCTTGATCTTTTGACGACTTGACATTCTGGACCATGCCTTGATAGAGGCGAAATTCCTGCACAGCCTCATATATTGTGGAGTGGTTTTTGAGGAGATGGTTTTTCCGTGATCTGCCGCCCCCTGACTTCTTGTACTTTATGCCACACTTTACCCCGAGACTGTTCTTAACCTGGCATTCGAAGCAGATGCATCTGTATTATAGAAATGTCCAAGGATACTAGATTTGCGTATGGACTTATGTATTGGGACTTGTGCCAAAGGCTTTTGTGAGGCGGGCGCGTCGTCGCACTGATCGGGCGAAGGTAAAACGCCAAGTTCAAGCGATTCATATAGCGTGTACCATGTCTCCGATGCTCCATGACTGGTACGTAGGTTAAGTCGACGCTGCTCCAAAGCTTCAGCTTCAGCTGCAAGCAGGGTTGCTTGTGGGTTGTCAAAAGATAAAGGATAAGCTAAATCTCATGAGATCTGAGGAAGTCCACGAAAAGAGGAGGACGATGAAGATGCCCGAGAGGTCTGGTGCAGGGAGATGGGCGACTTGGGCTGAACGCCATGCACATCACTATGCCGTCCAGAGTACGATGAAGTAACTGAGGAGAGATAAGACCTAGGCTGTGGACTGCGATAATAATGAAAGCTCTCGGCCCTTTGTAGCGGTGGTAGTGGGGATTGTCGCGGAGCGCATAATGTGGATGTAGAGGGTGAGCCAAGAACATGAGATGCTGAGATTGAACGTAGGAATGACCTAGGTCTGGCAGGTTGAATAGGCAGTCCCTGATTTGTTGGAGGAGAAGGAGTCTTAGGATATCCTCGTTTGGCTTGGGCAGACCTGATGCTACTGGCGGCGACGCTGGCTTCGCTTCTTGAAGTCACTTGGGGCAACTCGCGTGTTTGCACTTCCTCGAACATAGAGCTTGAACGCCCTTTGCGCGTCTTCACGCCCAAGACATTGTATTCTCCGCCAGAATGGTCTATATCGTTGGTAAACATCAACTTGCTCTTGTTCGTGTCTGTCCTGACCACGACGCCATACATCACGCTTCGCCTGCGCTTGCCGCTGGGCGCGTCGGTCGATGAGGCTCTCTGACTACAGAAGCATTGACGCGTACGGAAGAAGTCAGTAAAAAGGTTCAAAGCAACGGATATCAAGTATTAACTAGCAACTAAGAGTCAAAGGTATAGACTTACAGGCGATCGCCTTCCAGAAAACCAGCTGTAGTCATCATCACTCTCGAATTCGCACCTATTCTCGTTGAAAGTAGGGTCTTCGTCTAGATTTTCATTGACTTCCTGGTTGAATGAGTGATATTCATCAAAGTCATCGTTATTTTCTTCGTCATACTCTTCGTCATACTCTTCGCCATACTCTTCGCCATGCTCTTTGTCGAACAAGAAATTTTCACTCTTATCATTCATCGTTGAATAAAAAAAAGGAATTGCGTTTCAAGGTCAGGCAGACTGATTCAGGAAGAGGAGTGAAAAGTGGGAGCATGAAGAGAATGAATGAGAACAGAAAAAACTTTATTAAACAAAACAAGAATATGGACACAAAAAGTTTTATCGCATATTGAGGGTTCTCTCCTCCACTGTCTCTTTGCGAAGGCTGTTGCAAGAGAAGAATCTAGTACAATCGTATCAGTGCTACTCGGCGTCACAGACGATGATTATTGGTCTTTAAGATCTTTGAGATATAGAGATATAGAAGCCTCTCAAGAGATATAGAAGCCTAGCTATGGAAGTAGAAGTTGGCTTTGACTATATATAGTCAACATTAGTAATAAAGAGAAAGCAGAGGCAGAGATGCCGAGCATTTACTGAATTATTAAAGTACATGGCCGCTTTGCGAGACAAGATCAGACAAATAAAGTTAATCTGTCAACTGTTCGTGGTAAGCGTGTCTTTAGGGATGATGCAGAAGGTTCTCTGAGAATTGAATGAGAATGGCAATGGCAATGGTAGTGCGAAAAGAGAAGAAGCCTGTTATGCATGCAGATGATTGTGGATTTTTTTTATTCAAGGACAAGCCTGTGTGCTTTTCTTCAGGTTAGCGCTGTTTGTGCAATAGGTTTGTGCTGTTTTCAGAACAGGTTCGCGCTGTTTTAGAAAAGGTTTGTGCTGTTTCAGAACAGGTTCATGCTGTTTCAGAACAGGTTCGCGCTGTTTGGGCAATCAGCTTGTGCTGTTTGGGCAATAGGTTTGTGCTGTATGAGCGACAAGTTTGTGCTCGTTTTCTTCCAGCACGTGCTGGAAATCGACTTTCTCTTCAGGCTCAGATCTCTGGTGGCAAGCCTTTTCAATCCCCAAAGAATGAATCAGTCTCGTCACCATTATTAGTGTTTCATATCCACCACACTGTAACCATTATTATTTTGAAAAAAAAAAAAAAAAAAAAAAAAAAGGATCCGAAGAAGGTTTATCAATACTCGATTTTCCAACCAACATGAGCTATTAATAATGGTAACAATAATAGTAACCGCGCTAACACGCCAACGATCAAGTAACATGTAAGCGAATGAATTAACTTTCTATCTTCAGAAAGTAATAACTTGTTCGTCCATTGCCAGAATAAAATGAAAAAGTACTGGGTTGATCTCCCTTTCCTTTTTTTTTTTTTTTTTTTTTTTTTTTTGTTCTCTGCTTTAGATGCTAAAAAAACATGAATTTTTTTATTATCTAACAATCAGAACCCCAAAGCAGTTTTGTAAATGCACAGCAAGCTTAGTTCTTAATGGTCTCAATCGAGAGAGCTACATTGGACAAAAAAAGAAAGAAAAAAAGAAAAAAAGAAAAAAAGAAAAAAAAAAAAAAAAAAAAAAAAAAGCAATATTAGTCAGTGGTTTATAAAAAAAAAAAATGTATATAGCATCATTCAAAAAGATATCAGCAGGAAGAGAGAAAAAAAAAAAAAAAGACTTACTGGGAGGGAGAGACTGCTTGAGCTTCTCAGCCTTGGCAGCATCGTTGATGACCAAGGTGTACAAGTAGCGGGAGCAACGGACCTTGAACTTGGTTTGGCTGCCGTTCTTCTTGATACGGCCGGCTAAAAAAAAAAATAATAAAATAAAAGTGTTAACAATGAATGGGCTAAGCAAGCTTGAGTTATGTTCATTCTTGTGTCTCCTGAAGATGCCCATAATCCATAATAAGAAATACTATTCCATGTCACTATTCCATGTCGCTCTGCCAGGTCCTAGCAAAAACAATCCACTGTAGCCTTTGAAGACGAGCTCGTTTTTTTTTTCTTTTTCTTTTTCTTTTTTGAGTAATGTTATTACGGTTACGCAAAATATAGCTAGCTGTATTAACATCGTAACATTATAAATCGATAGCCAACGACAGGCGGCAGATCTTGAGCAAACCGCCAACTTGTTTTGTAATTCTTTTTTTCTTTTTTCTTTTTTTTTTTTTTTTCCTCGTTTCGCGCCAATATTTGCGCGTTAATGAAGATTCTCTCCGTATTATTGTCGATGAGGCGTATATCCTGTGCAACTTTTCTCTTTCAATTCTTGAGTATTTTTCCGCCTTCCTTGTTAACTAGTCGGGGGCCGGAGGAAAAAAAAAATAAATATAAAGTAAAAAAAAAAAAAAAAAGTAAGGTGTACGTACACTTGGCGTCCTTTCTGCGAGCAATCTCGAGGAATTGCTTGATGTCTTGAACTTGCTTAGGCTAAGAATTGGTCAATAAAGCAACAAAAAAAAAAAAAAAAAAAAAGCCATTCCATTAGCCAAGCTGGATTTTTAAAAAAGTAAAAAAAAAAAAAAAAGGTCTATCCTGATTCCTAATCTTCATGAATCGGTCTTTAAATAAACATCCTGCGGTGATTTGACAGATGAGATCCTGAGAATATCAAAAGTATCCCGCCATTATGAAGCATTCAGTATGGAAAATTGTTATATGTAATCCTGATGAAAGAAAATAGCGGGAGAAAAAAAAAAAAAAAAAAAAAAATAGATGGAACTCATCGTGGTGAGCAAATCCATAATTGCGTTTCATAAACTGATAATGGGATGCCAAACAAATGCGATGGACTCTTAAATAAAATGATCTATTTCTTCCATGTTGAATTCAAGAATTGTTGATGCCTTCCTTCTACTTTTTTTTTTTTTTTTTTTTTTTGCTTAATTCTAATCCATGGTTGATCGTAAATGGTATCCGTGAGTGAACGAACTGTCTGGTCCTGTTTACATGCGTATCCGACAATCGATGGATTAATGATTAGTTCGTTGTATCCTATCCCACTATGTACCATGGTGATTAAAAGACTGAATCAAAAAAGAGAGAGCACACCTGTCCCAGTCCCCCTCACACTCAAATCCAGAATCAAATTATTAGTGGATGGCCCAAATGCAACGCCACGAGTCCCTTCGATGCTCAAGTTAGCCAAATATGTGACACCCTTAAATAAAAAATATAAGTTATTTCCATATGGGCTATGTGGGTCATGTGAGCCAAAATATATGTAAAAAGTTCACCAAGCCCATAATCATTTGAGAAAACCAGTTCCCATACATAAAAGTCATTCAAATGAACCTCAATCCAAACCAAACTTTGGATAACGACAAAAGACACTAATATAAAGCAATCTAGGGTAGTAATTGAAGTTTCTGAAGAAATTGAGTATCCGTAGTGACATAAAAACCGATTTTGGAAACCAAGTGTAGCTTGGTAGACACTTGTTTAAAAAAAATGTTTCGTTGAAATTAGTAAAAAAAGCAGAGCTCTATGATAAAACCTTCAAACTTCACCATATTTTCAGATTAAAAGGACATGTCAATGCTGAATCCAACTGTGGTATTTTTACAGCGACTTAGTATAACAAAAAAACCCATCCTTGCTGTTTAAAGATGGAGAAGAGACCATAAATTCCAGAAATTACTCCATTTAGAGAATTCAATGGCCATTTCCTTGACAACCGCATTGCTCGTTCCTTGAAGTGTATATACATGACTTATAGATATAGCTTTTGGGTACCAGAATCTATATTTTGTAATGTGTATTGCCATTACTGAAAGAGAAATATTACTTTTGAACGAAAGAAGATCATTATTTTCAATATACAAATTCTTTGAATGGAGGTATATTACTGAAGACTCAACCGAATCTTTTCAACTTTTTTTTTTTTAAATCGTACCAATGGATCTTCCCTACCGAATAGATGGTTTTCAGTCTTGTAGATTCTCAATATCAACAGGGAATGGATTTCTTTATTGATCGTTCTGTAAAAAAAAAGAAAAAAAATCCTGATTTCTGATTGGCTATTTCAGTTGTGCTTTCTCTGATTGAATTGAATTGAATAGCTTTTTGATCAAATTTTTTTATAGGCGTTGCCCGTTTTTGATTCCCAGATGTATTTATCGTTCTTTGTAAAGAAAAAAACCGTTCAACCATATCACTTAATTCCCTTGCTGCTTCGGGACATCTCACAATGCTATCTGAATCATGGAGACCCTTTTTGAGCAACTCCAAAGATTCAGTAACCGCATCAGCAATCCTCTCCGCCTCAGCAACCTCCTCTGTTTCAGCATCCTCTACCTCCAACAGAGCATCACTCATGTTGGGGTTAACATCCCCCTCCAAGCCATCTTGAAAACTCGGGATCACAGCATGTCTATCATGAGCCTTCTCAAGAACATCATGTATGATGTGGAGTGGTGGGTCTGGGTTATCCTTACGGACTTGATGCAAAAGATACATATGTCTGCAGGGGCGTTGAGAATACATAAAGTACTGACAGTTACATCTGGAGATAGCTCCATTCGTGGCAACTACGAAATATAGAATACGTGCGGCAAATAACCGTAGTCTTGTTTCTTAATCCTGAGGCCATCAACAATCTCCCTAATCTTAGCCTCTAGGACCGTCGACTCAATCCAAGAGTCTTCGACTATTACTTAAGCACGTCAAAGGAGCAAAGAGCTTTGCAGAGCTTCGTACGATACCAGAAATTAACCAGACTTTTGATACGATGGTAAAGCATTAACTAATTTGTTCTTTGCCCTCACACGCGCCATGGCTTCAAGCATATTATTGCTATAAAGCGCCTTGAACGATCTTATAACACCTGCATCTAAAGCTGTTTCACTGCCGTCGTGTTCGGAGGGAGCCGAATGATCTTAATGTTCTTGAGTTCAAGCCTCGCAATCCCTGTGTGCTGGTGCACTGTCGATTAGGAAAGCAATGTGACGGCCCTGTTCCTGCATGTCATCATCCAATTACCTTAGCCATTTAGTGAACGTCGGTTGTCTCATGTAACCTTTGTCAGAAAAATCTGCGTCGATTATCTTGAAGATATTCTTAGCCAGACCTAATGGACGATGCACGGAAAGAACTAAAGGCTTGCGCTTGCCAGATGCTGTTGAATCACTGCAGAATAGGATTGAGACTCTAGCTGACCGAACAATCTTCTTTCCACGAATAGGTCAGGTCTCATGAGCCTTGTTAGTCATCGCTGTAAGGAAAAGGCCCGTCTCATCACAATTGTAGATATCGTCAAGCTTGAAGTCGGTAAGTTTGGCTTTAATAGCTTCAATGTGATCCTTTGCAGCCTCCAGGTCCACTGAACCACTTTCGTCATGGCCAGTAAAAGATTTGGAGGCTCAATTTCGACAACCCGTCGATTTCTGGTGGGTTATTGAGGGAACACTGTACTAGTATACCATACTGGACACTTGGTACTAAAATCAATACGATCCTTTTATGTCTGTATGGATTCGGCAACATACCTCTAGCAAAAAGGGCCGGAAAGGTCTTTTGTTTTTCTTTAGGCAGGGAATAAAAAATGAAAAATGGTAAATGGTACTAGATGCACTAAAAGAGTGGAGGAGGCAAGTAAATGGTGGACATGGTGCTGATATTTTTTTGTTGATTCTCACAAACTCATAGGCAGATCAGATCCAGTTTCTGTGCTCCCTACAAGCAGAAATCAGCCGCCTATTACATACAAAGGAAGGAAAAAAATCAGTAGAAAAAAATCAGCAGACACCATATATCAAGCTATGTCATCACGATGCACCAACAGTCATATTCAAATAGCCTCTACCCTTCTGTGCATTTCCCAACTTCCACCTTCCTCTATCGAGATTAAAGATAAACAAGTGTCTATCTCCATTATCCTCTACCTCCTTCTTGACTTCTTTTTTGCTAGAGGTGTGTTGCCAAGTCAGTCTCGATAGTGGTCTAAAAATGTTTTTAAAAATAAAACGATTGATTGCGGGTTCGCATCGCTAGGATATGGTGCTGTTGGCATCCATAGATATTTTGCCAGCGCACGTTGCCACCATACCAACCGCACCAGCTCCTTGGAATATGGTGCCGAAAAACACTGGTGGGAAGTGCCTTGCGCATATGGCATCTCAAATGCGACCTAAGGAGTTTAAACCCATCACGGCGGCAGCGAGGACTGTGAGGGGCTTCCGCATTAGCACCGCGAAGCGCCTGGGAAAACAATTATTTAGAGATAGACTCTCTCTTCAGACCTTCACAAGCTTGTGAGGGAAAGGATCACAGTTTTCATATGCTCAAGCAATATCACAATTCTGCCCATGAAAATTTGGCTAATTTCGACTTCTCTCACAATCTTCTGGATCAAGCTTGATCACTCATGGGCGATTCTTCAAGGCTTTATCGTATGCTTCTTATGACAAGGACTCCACAGTTGCCTGAAAAAGGTTATTGGCATTTTATTTGAATAACCTGGGTAAGCAACTCGTTTATAACACGCATGGACTTTATCAACCACCATGGAAGTTCACAACGGTTGATGTGGTTATTTATCGAAAGACGATTGCTTTTTCACGCAATCCACATTTTTTTTTTTTTTTTTTTTTTTTTTCGGGTGGCGATTGAAGACAAGTATAACTTGATATTAGAATATTGAATAATGGACTTGGACTGAATATATGAAGCGAACTGCAGGATTACAGCAATTCATAATGATCAACTCGAGCATATAACATCTAGTCAATAAACGATTGGAACCACGCCAGATAATGTTTGGCAATTAAACCAACAGCAATACAGAAGTTTTTTTTTTTTTTTTTTTTTTTTTTTTTTTCTTTTTTTTTTTTGGGATCTGGAACGAAGAAAAAAAAAAAAAAAAAAAAAATCGGGCGCAAGATTCAAGAGAGCGCACCCAATACTTTGATGAAATGAAAAATTCATGGTATAGATATAACATTATTTTTTATTTATTTATTTAAACACAAACCAAAACGATGAGAGAGGATGCGGTTTGTGAGCCGGTCCACGCGAGAAGTTGGATGAGCGTGTGTGGACGGTGAGTGGTGAGAGATGAGCCATCTATCTTTTTCCTTCTTTCTTTTATCATTTTTCTTTTCGTTCCTTCTTTTCTTTTTTCTTCTTCTTTTTGTACGCCTGTTTTGTTTTTTTTTATGTTTCTTATAATAGTGAATCTCTTTGATGCCCAAGCAAGATTCAATGATGTGATGCAGAGAGATAAAAAAAGCTTGTTGGTGTCTATCGAGAGAAAGGTAGAGAAGGAAGGGCTTGTCTGGGCTCAATCAAACATTGGTTCTTTTAAAGTCAAGAAGTTAAACAACACACAATTGGGTTGATTTTGCGTTAGTTTGGTTGCACAACGCACTAGATTGGCCAACGTTCATCCCCCACTTGGATGCAGAACAGCGAAACGTTCAGAAACATGGATTTTCTTGCCTCCCCCTCCTCAGAAAAAGCTAATCTATCGTCCATCGTCTTTATTTTAGTTCATCAAACCTGATTTGTATCCGAAAAGCTGTTGAGGAAGACTCTTCTTCTTTTTCCTTTTTCTCTCTTCTTCTTCTCTCTCTCACTCTCCTCGCTCCTCTACCCGGCTGTATCTCTTTTTTTTTTTTTTTTTTTTTTTTTTTTTTTCTTATCCTCTCTCATAATCTCTCATAATCTCTCATACTCTCACTATCTCATTTTACGATCAATCAACATTGTCCTACGATCCTGTCCCTTTCCTTTCCTATTTTTAAATCTAGTCTTGAAATCAACTACTGAATGAACATTCCATCCCTCATTTTGCCATCATGTCTGCACTAATCTATTCAGCTATGACAGCACCCTCAAAGAAGAAGAAGGAAGGAACAGCTACAGCCGACTCACAGCTATCCTCAGGAGGGAAGAAGGAAAAGAAACAACAACATGATGATAGTTCTACTATGCAGTTTTACGAAACTCATTCCTTCATAACCGATTCGTCTGAATGGAACTCTCATGAACACTCAATGGTATGTAAAACTGATTAGCGTATTCTTATCTGTGTTTTTTGACTTTACAAAAATTAAATAAAGTAAAATGCCACACGCGCAATGATATTAATATTAAAATACGAAACACCCTTTTGTTTTTTTCATCGACGCTTCCCTCTTGTCCTTCCTCTCCCCTGAATTGATTACGACTTTGCCACCCTCTGTGGTTTATGAACAAACATAAAAAAACATGCACCCTCAGTCTGCTTACAATAACAACAACAACAACAACAACAACACACACCTAGGCTCGTTTCATCCTGGTATCTCTCAGCAGGCACTGCATTCCCCTGCATATGTTGATCTACCACCTCGAGGATCCTCTACTCAGTATTTTGCAAATAGAAATAGAACCAACAGTAATGCCAGCAGCCTTAGTGGTGGAGGCGGATACAATTACAATTACAGTGGCAGCCATATGAGCCATGTAAGCCGTACTAGCAGTAACAACAGCACATCAAACTACATCCAATCCTCTCAACAATATTCTCAGCAATACCAGCAACAGCAACAGCAACAGCAACAGTCCTTAAATGCTTTCCCCAGAATCCACTCCCAGAACTCATCTCGTCAAGACCTTGCCACAACTGAAGCTGTTGGTTCAGATGTTCAGGTCGCTGGATATACATCCATCTCTGAACCAAACATATATGGAGGATATTATAATCCCAGTAATACCGACGTCTATGGTTCTTCAGATGTGACAGGAAGCCATCATACAGACTATCAATATTATCAACAAGGACTCGCTCAATACGAGCAACAGCAACATCGATCGACGAATTCTGACGCTTCCTTCATCTCTACCAGCCGTACATTTCAACAAGAGGCTATGACTTCTCAAACACTTTTGCAAACAATGGATCAACAAATGTCAAACCCCCACGGCTCGCCCAGAGCCACTCCACATTCAGCCCCCAAAAGAAGAGAGCCTTTAATGCATTTCCCCCATGACGATGATGACGACGAGAGTATTCTACCACCATTAGACCAATACGAAGTAATGCAGCAGACTATGACCTTTCCTACCGGGCAAGGACCAACCAGCATCCTCAAAAAAGAGCCTCGAACCAATAATAACTTTGGACACGCTGAATTCGATCGTGAGGTTAGAGCTGATAGAGCAGCTTTCCAGACTCAGACCCAGACTCAGACCCAGGCCCAGCTTTCTTGTGACACTAAACAGGCAGATAGCGAGCACTTGGGACCCTCCGCAGAAGAGCGAAAGATACGAAGAAGAAGCAGTTTGCCTACATCCCTTGATGAAGTCCCAGGTGAGCTGTCGACAAGTCTGCAAAGACGAGGCAGTGGTGTACAGCGCTCACCTAAGTATGCAACAGTTCCTACGTCCACTCAAGCTAAAACGTTAATGGGCAGCCCGTTACACGAAGAACCTTCTTCTCAAGATAGTGAACCGTTCTACTCATGGGATGGCCATGAGAGCATGCTATCCAACGGTACTCAATCAGTGAACGCTGCTACTGGCTCCATTGCTTTTTCTAGTGCCGAAAATGAACAGCAGAGGTTGGAACAACAACGGCAGAACAAGAGAAACTCTGGTCGCCAATCGCTTATGGAATTCAAGCCGCCACTGATGACCAAATCACAATTGCGTCTTAGCAGTAGTCCTAACCCCTCTGAAGCTGACGCAACAGCCATTGCTGTTGCCGTAGCCCAGATGACAGAATCCAATGATGGTAATAGTCGTGATGGGATTTATTCAATAGACACAGATAGTGGAGCTCAGCAGCAACCGCGCAATGGAGTGAACTCTGACCTCAAGGGTCCATCTTCTCTACCTTCGCGCCCTCGTGCCACAACTCCGTTGGGATTGGTCATTGAAGAGACTTCATCAATTCCAACAGGTTTGTTGATTAGGTCATCATCACAACAGTCTTTGGCCCTCAATACTCCAACGTCCGCTTCTAAAGCACGATCAACGACTCCTATTTCTGGGATCCGCCCTCCTCCTGGTCCTCCACCCATGATCTCATCATCTCCACCCATGACATCTTCATTATCAACCGTAGCGTCACCCACAGCCAACCAAGCTCGAAAGGGGCCCTCAACAAGTAGCGGCAGTAGTCGACGCACTAAGGCCAATGGATTAATTTCAACAACCCCAATTTTGCCACCCGCCACACCTAGAATACGAGCTGGATCGATATCTGTTAACAACATCACGATGGACAGTTCCCTTCATCAGTCCCTCCCATCGGTCCCTTTGCCCTCATTACCACCACCACCTATCTCTGCGCCGCTTCCGACCATCCCATCGTCATCACCATTACCATCACCATCATTGTCCATCAATACCCCTGGAGACTCGTCTGCTTCTCCACGACGTCGAAAGATTTCAGGAAACAAGGATCTGATGCTCCCTACTCCTATGACGTCCAATACCCCTTTTGTGTTGATCCAGAATGATATTCACGCTTATCCTCAAGACTCGTTACCAACCCCAATCTCTTCACAACCCGTGAGTCCGGACTTTGGTAACCTCCCAACACCGAGTTCCTCCCCTTCCACTACCTCGGTCATCTGGTTGCCATCACAGTCGTCGCCTTCACTATCGTCCGTATCAACCTCAGCGCCTTCATCACCATCACCATCACAGGTTGTGAAGCTCAAGAAGCGTGTAAGTCTATTGGAAAGAGAATTAGAATGCTTGGGTAAAGAACTCTCGGGTCAGAATCGTGATCGAGGCGAGTTACAGTTCAGGATGGAACAGTTGACAGTTGAACGAGATTCGCTTGAGAAACAGGTGATAATCTTACAAGCATATATACGTAAGAATAAGAGCCAGCAACAAGATCTCGCAAGTGGCAATGTCGACGACAACAACGACGATGATATGGATTCAGAATTGAAGGAAGCATTGAGACAGATCTTGGAGGAACGTGATGAACGACTGAAAGAGTGTTGGGCACGTCAGGAGCAAGCTTCTTTGAACTCCACACCCATGTTACGCCATAGTTCTAGTGTTGGTGCTGGTGCTGGTGCAACTACCGAAGTTGGTCATGAGGACGACGTTTCATCTCTTCGGGTCATGAAGTCGCAGTTGGAGAGAGAGGTCTTGGATGCTAAAGCAGAGATGGAGCGACTCCGTCAACAATTGTTGAAACAAGAAGAGAATGCTAATAGGGATCAAAAGATTCGAGAGGAACTTCAACAAAAGCTTGAGGCTCTTCAGAGGCAGTCATCTGAAAGTAATGCTAGTATCCACGAACAGCTTATTTGGGATGACCGTTATCAACAACAGCAAGAAGGAAATCAAGAGAACAACAACAATAATACCAATAGTAGTGATAGTATCGACAGCAGTATAATATCTTCACTACAACAGGAACTGGAACAGAACCGGCAAGCGCTTCAATACGAGATCAACAATCTGACAGATCGATTACAGCAAGAAGAAGCTCAATATCGAATCTTGCAAGATACGGTTCAACGGTTGACGTCCAAGATCTCACGTCTAGAGGCTCAGCACGCAGCCGAGATCCAAAAGATTTTACAGGATCATGAAGAAGTGATGGAGAAGGTGGTGATTGAGCATGCTAATGCGTTAACGGATTTGTCAGAGCAGTATGAACAACAGCAACAGCAACAACGGCAGCAGCAGCAGCAGCAGCAATCTAGGACTGGATCCGTCAACAGCAACAACAATGAACTTGAAGGAGAAGGAGAGGAGGAAGAGGATGGATCTGCCGCTGTTAGGATGATTCGAGAAAAGGTGTTGGTGACTCGATTACAAGAACAGGCTAAGAAAAATGACGAGTTGGAGGCGGCATTGTTTGCAAAGGAACGAGCTCTGGCCTTGATGGAGGAGGAACAAGGATCTTGGATGGAGACTCGAGCCTCATTGGAACGACAGTTGAAGATGGAACAGTTGAAACAACAAGAGAATGTCTACAGGGTCGAACAAGTTGAGAAGGAGAACAAGCGACTTTTGACTATCCTTGGAGATTTGGATTTGGCAGCCTTGGCATCCATGTCTAGTGACGATAATAACAACAGAAATAGCCACGATGGAGAAATGAAGGCCATCTTTGGGAGGGAAAGGCAAAAATGGATGGATCAGGTATTGTTCTTACAACGCAAGATGGCTAAAATGGAGGAAGAGGCTGCTCAAGCCTTGCAGAAGAACATGGAGCTTACCGTTGCCCTAGAACGTAGCACAATGCAAGTCTAGACAATAGTTTAAAGAAAAAAGTCATCTGAAGTATAAAAAAAAAAAAAAAAAAAAAATACTGCATGACACATTTGGCAATACTACGTACGATAAATGAATTTTTTTTTTTTTTTCCTTTTTTTTATTTAATATTATATACAAACTCTATTATTTGATGGTTATTGTTTTTTTTAAAGCTAGGCTAATATTTTTTTCTAAGGTTCTTTACTCCCTCTCCCAGATGGCAGCCATACCCATGCCAGTACCAATGCACATGGTGGTCAAACCGAGCTTCTTGTTCTGGCGCTTCAACTCGGGGAGGAGAGTAGCGATCTGACGAGCACCAGTGCATCCCAAAGCTATTAAATGATTGAGAGAAAATTGAAAGAATTGTCAGTCATTACATCTCTCTGGAACACAGATGCAATATATGAGAAACAAAGTATGAATTAAGGAAGAGGAAGAGAGAACTTACGATGACCCATGGCAATGGCACCTCCGACAGGGTTGACCTTGTTGATATCCAAACCGCACTTCTCGATGCTGTAGACAGCCTGGGAAGCGAAAGCCTCGTTCAACTCAATGACATCAATGTCCTGGATCTTGACACCAGCCTTCTCGCAGACAGCTGGGATAGCAACGGCTGGGCCGATACCCATGATCTTGGGGGCGCATCCAACAACAGCGGAGCAAATGTACTTGCCCTGGATGGGGAGACCCAACTTCTCTGCAGTCTTGCGCTTCATCAAGAGAACAGCAGCGGCACCATCAGAGACCTGAGAGGCATTACCGGCGGTGGTGGCACCATCGAAAGCAGGACGGAGCTTGGCAAGCTTCTCAAGAGTGGTGTCGGCACGGATACCATCATCCTTGCTGACAGTAATCTCCTTCTCGTTACCCTCTGCATCCTTGATGATAGTCTTGACGGGGACAATCTCGCTGTCGAACTTGCCCTCGGCCTGAGCCTTTGAAGCCTTGGCGAAGGAGAGAGCAGCAAACTCGTCCTGCTTCTGGCGGGTGACGTTGAACTCTGAGGCGACGTTCTCGGAAGTGATACTATTAGGAGAGAAGCGGAAGAGAAAGAGGAAGAAAAGTTAAAAAGGTTGTCACTATAAGCTGTAGTTTTTATTTTATTTTATTTTATTTTTTTTTTTATGATAAAATAAAAATACATACCCCATGGGGAGCTGGCAGTCAGCAGCAGCGTCGCAAGCATCAGGAATCTTCTCGGAGGTCTGGGAGGCCATAGCAGAAGGACCGTAACCCATGGTCATGGACTCGACACCAGCGCCAATACCGATATCGATCAAACCAGCCTGGATGTGGGTAGCGATGTTGACAACAGCTTGCAATCCAGAGGAGCACTGACGGTTGGTGGTGTAGATCGAGGTCTTCTCAGGGTATCCGGCATAGAGAGCAGCCATACGTGAGACAGTGGCACCACCAGCAGCCTGGAGAACGTTGCCGACGCAGATATCATCAACAAGAGCAGGATCGATCTTGGTGCGGTCTTTGATGGCAATGAGGACAGCGGCCAAAAGATCCTCACTAATATCGAAAAGACAGGAAGAAAGTAAAAGTCGTGAGTGTGACTGATTGGATGAAACTTTTTTTTTTTTTTTTTTTTTTTTCCTTTTTGAAGTTACACTTGGTTACTTGTCTACGGTAATCGGATAATTTTCAACCGAGAAGGAGATTTGCTGATCCTATTCCTTTGGTCTCTCTCTCTTTTCTTTTCTTTTCTTTTCTTTTCTTTTCTTTTCTTTTCTTTTCTTCTAGCTCCTTCCATCTCACTCAAGAAGATGAGAGAAAGAACTCTTATTCCTTAGGATGCTTCCATGTCCATATATGGCTTTTTTTTTTTTTTTTTTTTTTTTTTTTTAATGACTACTTACGGAACGGTATCCTTGAAGCCACCCTTCTTGCCACGGGTCATGGGGGTGCGGACAGCATCGACAATGACCACATCATCAGGAGACTTGACACCGATCTTTGTCTGGATAGAGGAAGAAGCAGCCGAGGTAGGCTGAACAGTCAAGTGAGAAGAGATCTGAGCAAGGCGGGAAGACATTGTGTTGGATAGATGTGGGTGTTTATAGATGAAGGTGAAAGGAGAATAGAGAGGAGAGAGAAAGATGAAGAAAAAAGAAAGAAGGAAAAGAAAAGAGAGGAAAAAAAAAAAAGGAGTTTTTTTATTTTGTCCCGAATGTAAGGAAAAGCATCAGGCATTTATATGATCCAGGACAACTTTTTTGGAAAACAGGGACACAAAACCCTGTGAAAAGAAGCCAACCGATCCACGGGTGATGGAAAAAGACAAGGTTCAAGATTGCGGGGGTGGTTGAATAGGGTCATTCTATGCAAAGAGACAAACACCGTCCACATGTTGGATAAAAATTGAATATGTATATCACTGGATATAGATGAATAATAAAATAATAGTCTAATGGCAAATTGATTTAGTCGCTATACATGTATATACTGTTGTACTGTTTGGAACAAAAAATGTGAGAGATGATCGAATGACATTCGACTTTGATCTGTGGACAAGACAAAAAGGAATTTCACGTGCCAAACAGCATAGAGACCGACAACTCCACACTTTTGTGTTTCGGAAACATACACTTTGAGGAACACCCTTCCCCCACATCTGCACATGAAAACATTCCCTCTCTCAAAGCCCAAAAACCTCTACACCATCCATCAGGTTCTTCACTGATTTCTCATCATCTCATCATCTACATGTATATTTTTCTATTCTGAAGAAGGTAGTTCACAAAAAAGTAAAAAAAGAACGTTGCCTCCAACTCTTATTTTACAGTGAGTGGATGCAGGGATTTTTTTTTTTAAAAAAAAAAATCTGAGCCACAGTCCGGGTATATGGTATATGGTCACCACGGGAAATTTTGATCTAAAAAAAAAAAAAAAAAAAAAAAAAAGGCTTCGGCACAAGTCCCCATTCCTCCGATCACTGCGGACTAAACAGAAGCTACATGTACATGTACATGTAGAACAAAAACAAACTTGGATAATTAATAATAATCTCTTTCTTTACTGAACACTTTGTTCACCTGACTCGATCTTCGTCTGCTCTTGTCATTAAATCAAGAAGTTTTATTATTTTTTTTACATCCATTTTCGTACCATATCCCATCATCACGCGTCATAAATCTTTGTGTAATAAAGGTGGCAGCTCAAAGAAGACATGGTCCCTGACAGGGGCTGACATGACTAATAAGAAAAAAACGTGCCTTGTTGTTAATCGCACACAATGATTTAATCCCTAAATCGCCAACGTTTATAATATGTATTTATATATGTATTATAATAAAGACTTTGAACACTTAGTCTTAGTACATGTACATGTACTTTACGTTTAAATGTTAGCACTTCCTTCTAAAACGAAAAAGCTATTGATAGCGGCCAAGTACACCAATGCTTTTTCATATGGCGAATGTGACTCTGATATTGAAAGAGAGCCTCGAAGAAGGAGGAGGATTTCTAATGAGTCTTTCGAGTCAAAAAAGTACAACTTTACACGGATTTGTACGGGGCCATTTCTTGTGTTAGTGTCAGTGCATGTTTATTAATGTTCATGTACAGTAGTATATATACCATGGTACATGCTAGTTCAATAAATTGCACTCTTTAACATTCATTCCTCATTCTCTCTTACCCAAGTGATCTTCCCCGTCATCACGGTTTCTCGTTCTCATTTATCTCACCTTTACAGGCTGTCGTCGCCATCGCCATCAATGGCCTATTTAGCATTTAATTGCAACTTGCTTTCAATACCTCATTGCTGTTATAGCAATTTATGGATATGTTTATATTTTAATAACCTTGATCTGAAGCTAAATGTGTTACGACCATCTTTAGAAGCTATTCTAAATTTTTTATGCCAAAGCAAGTCTATCCCCTCTGTGTAAACAAATAAAAGTAATAATAGTAATAATAATAATAATAATAATAATAACAATTATAATAAATGCTTATTTCAAAGTGCCAAGTGCTGTTTTAACGATTATTATGACTATGCTTCTGTAATTTTTTATTTTTGTGCACGGTTTTTTTTTTTTGTAATTTCAGCCCCTGATCACTCACGGATCACACATTATTGCGCTGGACAAACAAGTAGAATTGCTGAGTCTCGGTCTTGCCTCCAGGCAATCCTCCCTGAAATAGTCCTCCGACCTGCGCACTGATCCAAACATCAATCGTGTTCTGCCCGAATACCAGCGGGATCGTGTACACATGGTGTCCAATTGTTGGTGCGGTCGGAAGCGCCACTAACCCTGTTGGTGTAAGTTTTCTTCCATTTTGGAAGACAGACATACCAACATGCTGCTGGATCGGTGCCAATTGCGATGCCAGTAATGGAACCACTGTGATAGTTGTAACAGTAGAGTTCACTGAAATAGTATGTGCAAACGCTTCCGTGCTCAAATTCATCATAAATGACTTGTCCTCTGCATCCACGGTGATGGACTGAAGCATTGCATATCCTAATATATATAATGCATTCAGTAGAATTGGGGTTTATATTAAGTTAGTTGACCACAAATGTGGAATGTAAATAATAATAATAATAATAATAATAATAATAATGATAATAACAAAAAAGGAACATGGCAAAATTATAAAATACCTTTCCGCGGCCCGACAGAGGGGTCATAGACAAGCGATAGCTCTGCGGGAGGAATACTACCGGATGATGGGGCAACTTGCATTGGCGTACTGATCCTAGGATCGATCAGTGGTGTTGTCGGGGCTTGAACCTGCGTGTGTACGGGCATTTGCATCCGGCCTGGCGATCCAGGTGAAGCCATTGCCTGAGAATTGCTCGGGCTTTGAGGTATTGGTGTTTGGTGTGGATGCTGAAGGTGGGGACTCATATGTTGATATTGAAGTGCTTGTTGCTGCTGATACAAGTGCTGCTGCTGCTGTTGTTGTTGTTGTTGCAAAAGTAGCTGTTGTTGCTGTTGTTGCTGCTGTTGTTGCATGGCATTGGGACTATTCATTTGAGAAGAGACACGACGTGGCCGCTGTTGTTGTTGCTGTTGCTGTTGTTGCTGCTGCTGTTGTTGATATTGCTGCTGATATTGCTGTTGCTGCTGGGGGTGTTGCGGCTGGAAATGTGGATGCATTGCTTGTTGCTGCAAATGTTGTGGTTGTGGATGTTGATGAAGCTGCTGCTGTTGATGCATCAGTGGATGTTGAGTTTGTGGATGTGGCTGCGATTGTGATTGTGCCTGTGGTAGCGAGTGCGACTGTTGCTGTTGTGCATGCTGAAATTGTTGGCGTTGCGACTGACTAGATCGGCGTCGATGAGGATCTGGGGAAGTAATCCCATCAACATCAACGTCTTCATCTTCGTTCCCATCATCATCGTCATTGTCGTCGCTATTGTCATTACTCTGACTCTGCCTGCGCTTTGTAGCCTTGGGCTTTGAAGAGGGTCTCGACCGTTTACCACGCTTATTGGCGTCGTGATGTGCCACTGAAGAGGAACGCCTTCCATTGAATTGCCCAACAGACTCCAAGGCTGAGTCAGCTGTGACCGACGTTTTGAACTGAACCTTGGGCAGACGGAGTGGTGAAGGGTAAGGGCTGACGGGTGTCGGCAGAGGATCAATGGTATAAACTCGCTTCCAATCCTTGATCAAAAATGCAGCCTTTCCAGTCTCAGAATAACGGTTTTCGCAAACGAATACATCCTTTGGAGCAAAGTCGAGGACCTGTCCACGGACATAATCCTTATGGGCTTGAACGTAAACTTTATGATCCACAAGTCCAAAGTCAAACTGCCATTCCCCTGAACATTTGAGCACCTCCTGTTCATAAAACAATTGCCCTGGAGCCTGGAAGATTTGATCTGGTCGAAGAAATTTGGATCCAGCTATAAATCGGGTTTTCCTGCAAGCACAGATCAATAATGTACCAGAGCAAGTACGTCAATACGTTTATACAAGGGTGAAAAATGCCCCTGTACTCAATCGACAGCAGTCTTTTCGGGCATTTAACTTACTTCGAATCAATCTCCAGCCGTTCAATGAGAAGAATTGTTTTTGCGGGGTCACTGAGCCGTACGAACTCGCCGACTTGGTATGTCACGCCATTTTTAGTAAGTGATGGTACTATCTGTCTATCAGACTGTTTTAAAGCAATAGGTGTGGATGTAAAAGTGATTAAATATCGACTGTCAAAAGATTTAGGTCCTTCAAGACAGAGTATTATGCTACACTGCACAATGGTATGAGGTACATACCTTGTCGACCGCCGCAGCCTTTGGAGTAAGCTTGTAATTAGCATAAATCTCTTTTTTGCGAGAATTGAATAATTTCAGCAGTGTCCTGGCATCCTTATTGATGCGTGATCCATCCTCATTGAAGATGAGCGCATTCTCAAAAATAAGCTGGAATTCTCTATCAAAATCCTCTACAGTCTTGTAGTGCCCTGATTTTATCCTTGACTATGGTGCGTTCCGAGAACAAAATTTAGGTTAGAGAGTTCTATTCATTTTTTCGCTCAAATAAAATGCCCACTACATGTCCTTGCTTCATACCAATACAAGTTGGAGAGACATAGGTGATTTTATGATCTCATAGTATTCCGGATACTCTTCCTTTGAAGGTAGTGCCAAAAATATGTCCGCTAGTCCTCGTCCACTGCAAACATTTATATACAGTATATATAGCTGTGGTTAGTATGACACAGTAATAAAACCACGGCGGTACGATTGAACATAGACGTTACGTACGTTTTGTCTTTGTGATTCAAAATGATTTTGTAAAGTTCAGTGAAAGCACCGATTTGTGGGCTAGCTGGGATAGTTACTGTATTCTTGCCTTCTTTTCCATCCTTTGATTTGCTGTCCTTTGATTGATATTTGGTGTCTTCTGAATACTTTTTCTTCAAGTGCTTCCCTGACTTCAATCCATTTTCGGGGCTCTAATAATTAAAAAGGAAGTATGTTCAGTTGATTACTAACAGATACATGTACAAATAGACAACAGCAGCAGCTTTAGTAGTAGCGAGGAAGAAGAAGAGAAAAAAATACATCTCCAAAAAGAGCCTCCCATTCCGCATTGGTTTCATAAACAAGTTCCAGTGCCTCTTGACCGTGTTCATTTTGTGCATGTTTATCGGCTCCATATTTTTCGATCAACAACCTTGCTGCATCCAAATGACCTGTTTTTAACCATTTAACGGTTTTAAAAAAAAAAAAAAAAAAAAAATACATTAGTCTCTTTTTTTTTAAAGGAGAGAAAATAAAATACGAAATAAAATATGATCATTGATAGAATCAGATAATTAGATTACCTCCAAATGCAGCCCATGCGAGGGGTCTTCCTTTGTACCAAGTATCCTGTAGTTCTACATTAGCACCATGCTCCATTAGCAGACTAATGATCTGCTTTGACCCGTAATAGGCTGCTGCATGAAGTGGTGACCATGTGAAGGTACTGTCCTCAAAGATATTTGTCACGAAAAGTGTATCTGGATGCACATTCTTTTGTGTTAAGAAGTATCTCATTGTCTTGGTGTCATTCTCTTCAATGGCAACAAACATTCTCTTTGTATCTAATGGAGTGAATAAATAGTAAAGAGGTTCTTCAGGCAATGCTCCATTTTGTCTAGATTCATAAAACAAAAGGATAGCACCGCCTTACCACTTTCGGACAGCATTGCTTGTTCGGGCTGCTTGAGTTTGAGCTTGAGCTTTGGAGGTTCGGTCTTGATCGCCTATGAGGATAAAAAAAAATGTATTAATTGACCTTTTTCTTTTTTTCTTCTTCAAGTGTCATCCTATTGAACTATAAGACTATGCAGGGTGCTGATGTAGACTTGAAACATGACCACGCGAACCATCTGATCATGCCGATTATAGCTCTCAAAATCACGATCTGATCACGAAAAGACAATCAGTTTACCGTTGCTTGTGCTTTCACTTCATTCATGATGCCATGTAGACCCTGAATCTTAATTGAAAACTCTTTTCACTTCTCCTTCCCGCTCCTTCCCCTCTCTTCTTCCCCTCTCTCCTGCACCTTTAGTCTCATCAGCACGTTCCCTCATATATTTTAAGCCGACAGCATATTATTATTATTATCATTATTATAATTAATATGATTATGGTTATTATTTAATGTGTAAACTTGGCGGGAAAACTAATTATCATGGCATGGTTGTTGTGTACAAGAGAGAGGGGAGAAGAAAGAGGAGGAGGGAAGGAGGGGGGGGGGGGAGCAAGAAAGAAATGTTTTTTTTACCTGCAAATGTGATTCTTGTTCTGGTGAGATCTGCTTTGAGCTTCGCCTACTTGAATTCATTGTTGCTGTACTCCGTAGACAACTGATGCAAGGAAATGAGGAAACACGAGGAAAGACAGGGTTGGAGTGTGAAAACAAAAAGAACACGCGAAGCTCTGGTTTTCTTCTCACGCGTCAGGTAAAATAAGAATACAGAGGAGAAGGTAAAAAAAAGTTCTACAACAGATGAAATTGAGGTCGTGTAATAAGTAATTGCTCCCCTTGTAGTTGAGTTGAGGATGAACAAAAAAAAAAAAAAAAAAAAAAGAGTCAGCCCAGAAGGATATGTAGACATTCATGCAGACGTTCGGAGCACCCAACAATGACATTTGATTGTGCAAAAAATCTGTTTGGATATTGGACGGATGTCATGTGATCTATCCCCCCCTATTTGTAAATCGAATCAGCAAGAGCCACAACTGTTGTCTTCAGGGCTTTCTTGTCATCTTCCCCTTCCACGCTGTAGCCCTCTCTATCATCAGTAGAGGTGGATTCAGGATGAAGGGATGATTGGTTCTTTTGACGTCCTGAATCTAGGCGAACAGCCAATACATGGTGTCCACCTCCCCTCAATTTTTAATTTATTTTGATTTTTCTTCCTTCCATCTCTGGCATGGAGCACATCTGGTGCCTGCACTAGCTAAGGCGTAGTGCGATGGAAATGAAATGAAATGAAATGAAGGAGAGAAAGTTAGTACAGCTACATGCTCCTCAACATTGATTCTATGTTGAGAACCATGAAGTATCTAAAGCACTGGCAAATGAAATGCTTTTATCTTGATCGGTTAGAATCATCTGGCAGAGGGGAAGAAGAGGGGTTAGTCAAAAAGGAAATGAAATTAGTCCTGAAGGCGCACAAGCCAGTAATTGGGCGGAGCAATGTGAACCATGTAACCTTATTTGTCTCTTCTGCCAAAGGATGAAAATTCACCCTACAAATCCATCAGGACGACTTGATACTCTTTACAAGTTGTTTGCTCCTTTACCCCTTAGCTCTCGGGTAGATACACTATACTTGATCAAAAGATAGACTGTTTTGTATTTTCAGTTTCAATCCAAGCATTCTTTTAGCTTTTTAAGGCATACTCTGCTACTAAAAGATTCATGATGGAACAAGCTATGAAGCTACCTGGGCTTAACATCAGCTTTTCGTGGATTCATAGATAGAATAGCATAAAATTAGATTGTGTTCCTTCTAACTCAAGGCAGTGGGTGTGTAGATCACATTTCGTGGTCATCCAAGATCTACCAATAGTATATAACTGAAAGTGTATTCTATTGGTCTTACCAACATGCAAGGTAGTAATGGGAGATAGTAGTAATGGTGGTGGTAGTGATAGTGGTGATAGTAGTGGTAGCAGTGGTGAGTCCGATTCCTTCTCGAATCTTCAGGTTCAAGGTTCAAGGTGCTATCAGAGTCCAACTTTAGCGCTTCTTTCTTGTATTCATTGACGAATAGTAAAAATAAAAAAATGTCGAATATGTTTTCGACGTCAGATCGCGGAATGTGGATCACAATGTACCACGTTCCACAGGATTTTGGATCTTGGACTTGAAAAAAAAAGTGGCATTCCTATTTGTTGGCTTTTCTTTATTCCATCTTCGGGTTTTATTTTTGCCTACAATTTCCCTCCTCGTCGCGCCACTTCTTTCCTTCATCTCATTATCTAATAAGCCAATGATCCAATCTTCTTCTTCAAGACCAATTCCACGAAGAGCAATCCCTCCAAAGCCTACTTTTCCAAGGCGTGCTGTTCCAGGGTCTACTATTCCGAGGCCTACCCATCGTCGATCTCGTGGTCGAAACTCTCTCCCCGGAAGTCCCTCTTCTGGAGGATCTTCTTTAGAGAGTCCTTTTCAGTTTTTGCCTCTTCGGAGCTATCCTGAAAGGCTCCTCCACATGACATTGCTGCAACGACTGAGGCCAGTCAGCCGAGGCCCACTGGGCCAGCACCAAAAGCCCAGGTAGGGGATTTCACTGCATATCGTTATAGATCAGGCACTAAGGTCTTCAGGGAAGCTCAACACTGCCGGTTGCGCGCATGGCAAGCTACATTAAATGATCCTTCGTTTAGAGCCTTTAGCATGCCCATACTTCATTACTACATTATACAATCCCATTTTAAATAAGTTTATACACCATTTCTCTCTCTCTTTTTTTTTTTTTTTTTTTTTTTTTTTTTAAAAAAAGAGATAAGATATAAGGAGTGCATCACACATTACTCATTACCAATCTACATCTTCTGAAATAAAGAGGAGCGGGGATAGAAGTTGGATTTATTATCATGCAGACACACAAGGCAAAGACCCCAAATTAAAGCTCTTTCTCAACGGGGGTTCGTGAAGGCTATGCCTTGGATGTACCAGAATAATTGATAATAGCGCGGATACTATATACATATAAATTTTTATAATACAGAATTGTTCAAATGTAAATAAACAAAGTAATTGAAAAAAAAAAAAAAAAAAAAAAAAAAAAAAAAATAGGATTGACTTACCAGTCACCATCGTGCATAACATCAAAGGCCTTGTTGATATCATCCATGCCAAAGTTATGGGTGATGAACTCATCAACCTTGAGCTTGCCGGTCAAATAGTCTTGGACGAGGCCTGGCAATTCACTACGTCCCTTCACACCACCAAAAGCAGATCCTCTCCAGACTCGACCGGTCACCAATTGGAAAGGACGAGTTTGGATCTCCTGACCCGCAGCAGCGACACCGATAATAACGGATTCACCCCAACCCTTGTGGCAAGACTCCAGAGCTGCACGCATCACATTGACATTACCTGTACAGTCAAAGGTATAGTCCAAACCACCATCGGTGATCTCAACCAAATGCTGTTGAATGGTCTTACCCTCGGGAAGCTCCTTGGAGTTGACGAAGAGGGTGCATCCCATCTCCTTGGCCATTTTCTCTTTCCTGGAATTGATATCAACTCCAATGATGGTTGAGGCACCGGCCTGCTTGGCACCCTGAATGACACTCAAACCAACGCCTCCCAAGCCAAAGACAGCAACGCTATCACCCTTTCCAACTTTGACAGTGCGTGTGGCTGCTCCGTATCCTGTGGTGATACCACAACCCAACAGACAAACCTTCTCCAAAGGAGCCTCTTCAGAAATCTTGGCCACAGACACTTCACAGACAACAGTGTACTCGCTGAAGGTGGAACAACCCATGTAATGGAAGATTTGCTTTCCGTTGCAGGTGAAACGGGAGGTGTTATCAGGCATCAATCCACGTCCCTGAATTTCACAATCAATTTTTTATTATAAAAAAAAAAAAAAAAAAAAAAAAATCAATAAATGGACGATGGTAAGGAAACGTCATAGATGAATAAAGTTTGTCCTCCAAGAGTCATAGTCGCAACTTTACCTGGGTTTCGCGAACCTTACTGCACAAGTTTGTCTTTCCACTCTTGCAGAACTTGCATTCACGGCACTCAGCAGTGTACAGAGGAATAACATGATCGCCAGGCTTAACACTAGTTACACCCTCACCAACTGATTCGACAATTCCACCACCCTCATGTCCAAGGATAACAGGGAAGACTCCCTCAGAGTCTTAAGAAGCAAAGGGAGGGGGGAAAAAAAAAAGTTAATATAATAGTACAGCAACTAAAGGTGATGACAATGCTTTAAAAATACAATAAAAAGTCTCTTACCAGAACCAGAGAGGGTATAGGCATCTGTATGACACCTATTCAAAGATTCGCATTGTTTAAAGTGTCGATCGACAATGTTAAGGTCCTGAAGTCAAAATGAACATTAGGAATATTTGGAATGATTTATAGGTGACCTACACTCCAGTGGCAACGATCTTGATACGAACTTCGCCAGCCTTTGGTGGGGCAACTTCAACAGTTTCGATACCTTTTTTTTTTTTTTTTTGCGTGTTAAATGTGTATTATTAGCAATTGGGCATAAAGAAAGGACAAAAAAATAATAATAATAATAAAAAAAAAAAAGCTTTCAAGTCAACTGGGAAAAAAGTCATACTTAAAGGCTTGCCAGCCTCCCAAGCAATGGCAGCACGACAAGTGATGGGCTAATCGGATCGTTTTTTTTTTTTTTTTTTTTTTTTTTTTTTTGCATTCAAACATGTTAGTAAGAATAGACAGTTCAGTTACACCTTATAGATGTTAAATGTTTCAAATATATCTAAAGAAAGTCAATACCTTTCCTGCGGTCATTTTTTATTTGTGTATTCTGGTGGAATGAAGAATGGGGGATCAATTCTTTGAATGAGCGTTTTGGCACCTTTTATGTGTACGAATTTCCCTGGGAAAAATTTACATGGGAGGACGGAATTGTATTAAGGGCAGGCTCTCGCTCTTGATGAATGAACGCGTCTTGTGTACAAATCCGAATAGTTCGTAGAGAAAATCTTGTAATGACATCCACTCAATAGTGCTTCTTCTTTGCCAGAAGGGAAATTTATAATCTTGCTAGTCATCCACTACAACTGCTTTTCAGAAGGAAGATGGTGTTCGTCTAAATATGCGAGTACTATCGTATATTTCGCATAGATTTGTAAAGATCATTTTGAATGGGGGAAAAACTTTTCTCCGAGCCATGTATTCTCGCGTCATTACGCGTCAACCGCGAAAACATGATTTATTCCGATTTTTTAAATATTTTATTCAAGTCCCACTCTATAACAAACTCGATGCATCCTCATCTACCCTAGTTATTGATCCTTCATGTCTATCTTCTACGCTCCGGACATGTGCTTCTTGTTCTTGCCTTTGCTCTTGCTGCAGATCCATGACTTGTTCAAGGCCAGCAGCCACATTTCCAACACTAGTAACTGTGGATACTGTTGGGGGTTCCAGAGTCGATTCTGGTACCTGTGTTTCAGGTACAGAAGATGGTGAGGAAGACTCGGGTAGGTCGCTCGCTGTAACCGCAGAAAACAGGTTCTTGCCTACGCCCATCATTAGAGCAGCATAAGATGATCCTCCTTCAGAGACTGGAGGAGGAAAGATCTCTGCCTTTAGGTTGGGTAGAAACTTATTAATCCGGGCCCATGTCATATTCCACAGACTGTCGGGTCTGTTGGCAGTTGCCTCGGTGAACGCTTCTGATGTCGACATGACTAGTAAGCAGTTCTTGAGCGACTCTGGCACGGCTTCATACTATGTTAGAACAAAAACAAACAAGAGAGTGGCGTCAGTTCAGGGTATAAATTTAAAAAGGGATGCACACATGTGAATATCGAACATACCAGCTGTTCACTTTGCGCTGTTTGCATGAAAGCATCCATGTAATCCAAGACATTCATCCAGAGAGCTTTTAGACCCCCCCATTCAAGCAGTCTGAAGTAATAATGCAAGAATGTTTTACAGACAATTGAACAGGCCTTGCTTTTTGTCTCTTCGAAACCAGCCGGGTCCTGCTGCACTACTTCAGGTCTCAACAGATCTTCCAACAGCTTGAAGAGCACCTTGTCAAAGAGCACCACCCATTCGGCGATTTTGTCTGTCACGATCTCTGGCAATAAAAGTGCCCTCTGAAGGTAGATCATAGCATGATTGCGGACATCCCGACACGGATTAGAGCACTGCTGAGTCAATCCCACTAAGATAGGGAACCAATAGGCAGACCATGTCAACTCTGGATTCATCTTTGATTCAGAGATAAGTCGAGGAGCCTGACTGTGCAGCTTGTACAGCATCTCCACTGCCTTCTTGGCCCTGTCCACAGCACTAGCCTGTGCCTTCGATAGATGACTCTTGTTTCCGCGTTGTCCACTTTCCTGTTTCATAGAACCCTCTGCACCAACTGCACCCGCCGCAGCAAAGCGGATTAAAAGGTCAACACAATCTGCGTAATTCTCTACGCTTACATTCTTCCCATCATTCTCTGCCACAAACATGCTAATGGCCTCAAACGAGTACTTGGCAGCCTCTGGATGGTTGGAAGTAGAAGACAAGAGTGCGAAGAGAACATCCCAATTCAAATTGGGTCGGACACATGATGTGTCAGCTTTCAAAAGGGTCAACACGCCTGCCATCATTTGCTCCGCAACCTCAGGAACAACATCAATAGGTAATCCAAGTAATAGATCCAGAGCATCGAGCACCTCCTTGGACATGTCGTCGTTATGAGCGAGGCGAATACACAGCCTAAGCAGACCTACAACAGCACGCTCTACAAGCAATACACTCTGAGAACCAGCCTCACGGATAATGTCACTCAAGTGCTCAAACACAATGGGCCACAAAGCCTGCACGCGATATCGATTCTGAACAGTTAAGCTGATCATAAGTTCCAAAAAGAAAACATTAGCTGGGTTGTACAACTTGGAAGTTGGAGGTTTTGTCGCTTTTGTCACAGAATTTCCATCCGCAACAAACTTGATAGCCTCCATGAGATGTGTCAGTGGCAGGTCTTCTAGCAGTCGAATATCTACAAAGAGTTCCTCCAATCTGCAAGCAGCGACACAATCAGCAGTACAACGAGTTGACTCGATCTCCTCCGGTGTGGGTTCCTCGCGGACTGTTTCATACGAATATGAGGATGATAGTAGGTATGAGGAGAGGGTTGAAAGTAGAGAGCTATCCTGGCGAGCTTTGTCTTTTACTTCTGCAACAACTGGGGCCTTTAAAAGAATCATGGTAGTTCCTGCTAAGAAGTCTTCCACTTCCAGCATCGATCCTGGAAGAAGGTTGTTGACAAATAGATTCTTAATAATCTCCAGAATGGGCTTCCAGCCACTCCGGATCATATTTCCGTGCTCGTTTGCTACTCCAAATGCCACGACTGCAGCCAGTTGCCCCTTGTAGCTCTTGCCAAATTGTACCGCAAGGTTAGAGACGGTTATTGTGGTGCCCTCAACGACGACATCACGGTTATCGGCGGGGTTATGTGGAGTGTCCAGCAATCCAGTCATCCTTGCCAAAGACATTGTTATGCGGTCAAAAATATCCGGAAGTTTGTAGTGGGCTGCCAAGGTTGCACACTGATAGTATCCTGTCAACGACTTTTGCAAAGTTGCATCGTCTTGAGCCATATTAAATGCTATGAAACAGTAAAATCCAATAAAGAATATCGGGTAAAAGTGAATACCTTTCACTAATACATAGAGATATATCGTAGTACAAGAGTGATCAATTCTGACTGCCCAGGTAAACATACCGTACGAAATAGCAGACATAATGGGTTTCCAGGATGACATAAACAATTCTTTGTCGTACATTGCTGTATTGGAGATGACAAGGGGTCCTGCAGTCTCTGCTCTGCGCAAAAGCTCCTTCCAAGCATAGTTGAACCCAAGTTGGCCTTCATGCTCTTGAGGCAGCACAATCTCACGTTTACGGATAGCTTCATAGATCTCTGCTAGATATTCGGGAGGGAAGTCTTCGCCGGCGTTGACTTGCCTCAGATTCTTGATAAACTGCTCAAGTGACATACGCCCTTTGACTCCACGATTGTGCTGATCCGTATTTAGCATAACCACAGCAAACCCAAGGATAAACGCAGCATCCTGTGACGCAATTTCCTTTGGCTTAGTAGCAAAATAGGTTGCCGCAAAAAGCTCCATGACGCGCTCGATCTGTTGTGCTTCACCAGGTAGTCGGAAGGTCTCCAGAAGTTCGCGTAACGACTCATCGAGACGTTTCTAGACATTATTATTTTAATGTTAGTTATTAAAGCTCATTTTACTAATATACCCTTTCCTTAAAATAGAGGCATGGATGTCAACCTTACCCCATGGAAATCAAAAAGCTGAATAAAAGCCTTCAAAACTTCAGAATTTGCTGGCTTTGCGAGATATTCACCCAGCAATCTTTTACTCAAGCGCGTACTGCTCTTAAGGAAATGGGCCACAGCTTCAGGATCATTCAAGCTTGAAATCATTCCATGAGCTAGTCCACATAAAAGCGTTAAACTTCATTGCAATACTACGTGCTTTTAATTACATTAGCTGCGACATGGCAGGAATCATATACCTTCCAAGTACGCGAGCCCTGCTTTCGGGCTTTCATCGAATTTGGCGGCGCCCTTTACTAAAATCTCCTTCTGTTGCCGCCGCTTGAAGAGTATGTCAAAACTCTCATATTCTCTATCAAGAGCTTCGGCTTCCTCCTAAAGATCAAATCAGGGATAAGTTAGCAACTCGCGGGTACAAAATATCCTGAAATGATCAATAAGCATGATTTGTGCGTCCATACCTTTGGAATTGAAAGACGATCTACCATATGGTTGATAAATAGTAGTAGTGAATCCATACAAAGCATATGAGAGTTACTTGCCGAATAGGTGGTCGACTCTGGGAATGAATTCTAGGATCAATGCAAAAAAAAAAAAAAAATCGAATCAGAGATACATCTTATTTGCATAGTCTATCATAAGTATCGATGTTAAACCTACTCTCGTCAAGAACTTAATCATATCCTGAAATAAATCACCGCAGTCCAGCCCGCAGTCATAATTAACCCAGAGATCAACCATGAATGTAGGTGCGCGAGCAAACTGACCTAGACACTCTAGAAGAAGCTCACGGACCTCACCCTGGGCAACAGTCGTGTCCAATCTCTCCCCTTTTGAGCTCTTCAGCGAGGGGTTAGGGGATCCCGCTCGTGAACTGCTTTCTGGTTCAGGAGTGTTGACGATAGAACGAGGTGGATCGCCAAAATCAGGGTTGAATGGCAGAGGTTTGAGTGCAGACGCTGGTGGGCTCAATCGGTCCAATAAAAATGAAAGGAAGAGCTCCTGCTGTAGCTTAAGGCTGGGCCTCATCGTATCAAATACTGTTGAAATAACTCGAAGCGTCAAAGTCAAAATCGGGATATTATCTGTCCTAGCCAGCTAGTATAAATGTAGGAGTCGCCAAGGATTAGTCAAGCTATATCTACAATGAATAGGTTTAGTTCCCTCAATAGGAAATGACTATACCTGGAAAAGATATTTGCACATGTCATCGGCAACAAGGGACATGAGCGCTGGGAATTTGGTGATACTGCGCCCGCCGACTTCTAGAGCAACATCGAGAATGCTCAATGCCATCAGACGCATTCGATCCGTATGCTGCTGGTCATGAGGATTTAACAATGAGATCAATACACGAAGAAGTTCATGAATTGATGGCAGCCCGTACGACTTTGGTGCTATGAAGGTGCGAGAGTAGGGATCCTATGATCAATTATTATGTATTAATAGTAACACGCACAAAAAAGAAAAAGAAAAAATGCTGGACACTCAACGTACGCGCCGCCTCCGGTACAATCTCATTGGAATTTGGATCATTGCTCATTGCCTCATTGCTCTTTGCGATCTCTTTGGCCATTTCGGATAGTAGCGCCTCGCCTTCGGTTTCTACCGTTGATGGGTTATGGCTAATGGTGAGGTTCACATGCTGCGTATCTCCCTGAATCATGGCAGTCTGAACCAAAATAGGCTCGTTTTCATCCGCATTTCCTGATTCTATCTTATTACCACCCGCCGCGACTATAGCCGTCTGAAGCCTGTTTATGATGTAAAACGGATTATAAGTGGAGAGAAAAAGCCAACATGATCTGAAATTACACTCATCTCTTGAGTTCAGTTTAACCTTACTTTTCAAACATGGCTTTTGTAATTACGGTCATAGTGTGTTCTGCAGACTTTCGCAGCATTTCTAAAAGGTTGATGAGTAGCCCCCATGGTTGCTGTTAGACTCCAGTTTAGACTGTCTCAAAAAAAAAATAAAAAAATAAAAAAAAAAGACATCGATTGACTTACCACTCAGTTGCACTTGGCAGCACATACTGAGCCCTGTTTCGATCATAGAACATACTGATTCGTCGCTCAGGAAGTCGCCAGGACCGCTAGTCAATGCAATACGCAATACCTGAAGAATCTTTAAAAGTACAATTTCATCCGATACTGAATCGCTTGCCACAAACTTGCAGTGCGTTGCTGCTACTGCCAAACGCTGCATTGCATGCGACACGTTTGGTGATTCTTCGTCTATGGTAATGGCATTAGTCAGCTACGTGTCAGCCATACTGCCTAAAAAAAAATAAAATAAAAATAAAACAAATAATGCAGTCTTTTAACACTAATATCATGAATAGATACATACTAATGATCTTGTACGTTAGGAACTTTTCGACAGAGCTAAGTGCTGCGCCCGTAATTGGTCCATTCGTGTCACCAGACTGGATCACCTCTAGAAATGGATCTAGTAATGCAATTGCATCCATGTCCTTGACAGCTAGAAATACGGGCATGTAAAAGCGTTAGGCGCTTTGTTGGGTAACTTTGGAACTATCTATTTGTCCTTAATTTGCTGCATTGCCTGCACAGTTGTTTACCAATTGTTGTAGCGAGACGTGATCGAAGGTCATTAAATCCAACCATGAGGGGGCTCTCCTATTTAATTCAATAGCGATATTCATCGTTGAGGGCTCTGTCTCTCGATCTGGGTCCAATAATGATTTATGTCCAAGATATAAAACGTGTGTGTAAACGATACCTTAGCACGATAGTTGCCATCTTTTTGATTTTCGCGTCCCCTAAGGCCCATATTCATGCCTAAACTTCCCATGTTGAGCCCACTAACACTCATACCAGACCAACGCGAGTTTCGTCGCATTGCACTAGTAACTGAGATAATTTCGGCATGGACTAAATGTGACCACTTCAGTTCACATCCAGGATTGTTGGTACTGTTCTCTGTAAGGCTATCGTGTGTTGTTCGCTGTGTGATAAGCCTGCTGCCGAGAGTAGATGAAACAGAGGAGGAGGATGGCGGCAGTGAAGCAACGCTTGGAGTGCTTGCTTCTGTAACAACAGATGATTCCAAAGTATTCTGTGCCTTTGTTGGCATGGCCGAAGTTACGCCTTCCGTCATTTATACTACAAAAACAATGCTGTCTTTCTATTAGTCCTGTGATGATGGGTCGTATTCGTTGATTCAATTCCGGTGGTTTGCCCTTCTCAGTCTTCGTGTCAAAGGTTATGATGCAGAGGAGCAGAAAAATAAAGAATGTAAACAGAAGGATGAAAAAGAGTGGTGTTGTCTTTTAAAGTTGTACTACAAAATATACATTAATGCTGTTCTAGTGACAAGTGTGTCCAAAGGACGACTGTACACGTGGCACAGCATACGTGGAATGCGCCTATCAAATTAATCAGTGCTCAAAGTCGTAAACGCGTTTATTCTTTGAACACAGAACCTTCCTACGTGGTCATCGCTGCTCTAAGCTCGCACGCAACAGTTTATCCAAGAACTAGCTAACCTTCTATTATACTTTCTAGTTGGGCTCAATGGGCTGAATACCTCAGGACAGCCATACCGGTGCTGACTGAAATACTTTATCAATCAACATGAAAATTTACACATTTATTCAAGAAGATGTTGCAGTTGATTACCGAAGTTTTTGAAGTGCATTACGTGAGGGAAATAAAAAAAAAATAAAAAAATAAAACTTTTTTTTCCAGTTGGCTGTTTGTTTTAGTATTTACCAAGGATACTCACCCCAAGGCGGCCATTCGAATCCAGTTTGGCTTTACTCTAACAAGTATATTTTCTACATTTTAAATAATTTTAAAAGAAGCAAAGCAGAAATGGTGAAGATGTCTGGACCAGCATGGCATCTTCTCTGAGAACCATCATGTCGTACTCCGTTATCCACGGAACCAATTATTTACCCTTGCAAAAACGCGTCCTCGTCGTCCAGAGCAAATGCTCTCGAACCTTTTATCTACTCAGTAATTATATATATTCCATGCGGCAGATGAGCCCATACAACACACCTTAGATTCGATTGTTCTGCGAGCTGCTGAGGTCATAGACGGCTCGGGCATGATGAGTCCCGTGGCCCACACTGATGGCGACCTTAGTTCCGAAGCAGAACTCTCAAGTTTAGCTGATGGCATTCTTTCAAGGTTTCACACCAACTTCCCTACGTTCGAAAAACGGAGCACTGTGGCAGCGAGGAACGCCGCGTTATTTGTGAGGGATGCCATTTTGTATATAAAATTATCCGATGCTATCAAGACTAGTGATATTGGGCGCATCGAGGAAGCTACAAAGTGGTTACCCATTATACAATGCTCCTGCATTTACAAGGATTTTTATTTATTTTGCTGTGTCATTCGAAGTTGGTATGAAGTAATATTAATATCGACAAACCGTATCGGGCAGCATCAACAAAACGACGAAATGTTGTCCCGTTCATTTGGTCGCGACAAATTGAGATATATCTTTCTATACGTTACGGCGACGGTGAGCTAGCATACTATATAATATTACATCCCCAACGCCAATGGTTTTAAAATATAGTCTGGTTCATTTGGTGACGGCACAGGGCATTTGTTATGGTTGATATACCGTTATAACCCTCCATGTGGCACGGTCATTGGGCGAACCCCCTTGTTTCTATTCTCCTTGCGCTATTGCGCTATTGTGAATATATGGCTCAAAGTTCCCCGTCGGAAACAAAGTTAATAAAGCTCACTGTGGGTGGCCTGCTCAAGCCTATAGGGTTTAACATCGCTTCTTAGAGTATCAAGCAAAATCCTTCTCAGACTGGAACATGCTGAAAATTAACGTGAGAAAGATTCCACACATTAATAAAGCCAAGGCGTTTATGACTCGATGGTCTTCAACTGTTTTTTTTTTTTTTTTTTTTTTTTTTTTTACTTTTACGATTGTAGTGTTAGATCGCTACCAGATTTCATTCATTAGATGGGCTTTGTGCAGCAAACACATTGGTTATCGGAGTAAAACAAAGAGGGGCATCTCCTATACCGCTCCTTGTAGTTTTTAAGGAGTAGCTTGTATACGGGGTGGATAACAAGGTATATATTAGTGTATGTTAGTGATTTGCGGCTGTAGCATTTTCATTGTTCAAGTATAAATATGAACCTCAGTCCTTCTACACGATACTCCAGCTTCTGCCTTGTCAAAAACTTTGACACTCATTCGTACATAGGCCCACTGCCGTCTAATCTCAAGGTAAAGCATCCTTTCACTCTCTCTATATTATATTTTATTTGTTGTACCTCACGTTCGCTTTCCGTCGTTTATTTTTTGCCTTCCTCTCTTTCTTCGTGCAGCCGTTGCTGTCAATCGCTATAGTGAAGTTCATCCTGGTCTCTTAGAGTTAACGTTATTTTACTTCCTCGCACATTGCAAAGAAACACACCATGAAAGCCTTTTTGAAGCTCTCCGTGCTGCTCGTAGCTGTACTGTCAATTGATGCTGCGCCCACTAACGACGCTAAGACTGCCATGGCTTCAATGGACAGCAAGATTGCCGAGTTTTACTTCAGGGGCTGCGCTCCAGAAACTACCAAGATCACTCCATTGGGGAATGGCGTCACTGAGTACACATGCACCAAAAGCAAGGCAGCGCTAAAAGCACGCGCATTTTCTAGTCGCCATACCTTCGGGACCAATCTGTTTGTATCTACATCCAGCGGAGGCATCAACGTCAACATTGGTGGAAATGGTGCCGGCGTTAGTGGTACCATTTATGGATTCCGTTATTCTGGTTATGTTGACTCTGCCTGGGAGACGTCCAGAGCTGTGGTTTACCCAATGAAATCATCTATCGACGAGGTAGTAAACCTCCCCAAGGCATGCTCTAGGGATGGTCACTTCTGCTTTGACACGTACGAAGGAGTTTGCGCGTTCTATTTTTCGAACAGAGTCTGGGAAAGGTCTTGCCCAGTTCTTAAGGTCATTGAATTTTCTGTTGATCCCTAGATGTCTAATTAATGCATCTGCCCTGTAACCACTCGTCGTGAGCCTTTTCGCTACCTGTCATCTTTAAGCCCTGACTCCCAACCCGACTACCCACTCAAGATAAAAATATAAAAATATAAAAGTTAAAAATGAAATACATGTTTATAATTTTTCAGAGCCTTAAGCCTCAGGCTTTGCTCTGGTAGTCTCTTGCATTGCTAGGAAATTCGATGCTACTTTACAGACTGCACGGTAAACAACTAATAAAGGACATTTCCAATATAATATTACTTTTATACATATATATATATGAAGTTTGGGGCATACGCATTATACACTATCAGGCTAAATTATCTCCATTGAATTCCTATATGTAAAAATTTTTCTCTCACTTTTTATAAACTAAATATAGGCCCTGCTAATATTTGGCACAAATAATGTCCTAGGATCCTCTAAATGCACTATTGTATAAATGTTATGCTTTCAGGTTCGATTGGATAAGGCTTTTTTAAAATAATGGTCGCTAGGAAACGGTTTTTAACAAAGTGATTTGGCTTCTCTACCAAATGCGAGAGCAAGTTTTAGTAAGGAAAGAGAAAGAGAGCGTTACAAAAAGATTATTAAGAAAGAAACAATATCGAAAGATCGAATGTAAAAAATGGTCTCTATCAGATATTGTTATCAAAAGGTAAGGAATATGCTTATCATGCCCAATAAAAAATAGATTGACAAGGTAAAAGCAATGTTACTTTGTTGATTCTGAAGAATATAAACATACTAAAAATTTATTACATCTTCTAATTATGTACTACGTTAGCGTGTCTCTCCATTGCTCTAACTGCTTTCTGCCTCCCCTACAACCATGCGAGGAAAGGAAGGGGAAAAAAAAAAAAAAAAAAAAAAAAAAAAACCAGATCCACAAAACAGTCTACAAACGGCTGAAAAACAAACTCAAACAGATGCAAGAGCAACGTCAGCAAACAGATCCAGAAACAGCTAAAAAAAAAAAAAAAAAAAAAAAAAAAAAAAACGCGACTCAAAGAAACAAAATAGTCAGCAGCGACCACAACTAAGCCAAAGCAACAGTGACTGTAGTTAAACCAAAACATGATTAACCAATGCCAACTTGTAAAAAAAAAAAAAATCTTGCGCTAAGACCCTGGCTGTGCTTTGGATCAGAATGTAGTACAGAAACAGTAGCATGCTAACGCCAACAATAAATATTAAAGCACAAAACCAGATCTAATAGCTCTATGTCCTATGTCTGAAGACTTGATAGATGAATATACGTGATCATTATGGATGCAGACGTCAGGTAGGAACCAAACTTGACGATAGTGGCCATTACTAGGCAAACAGCTGCATGAACTTATTCATGACCTTGAAGAGCAATCCAACCAAGCTCGTAGCGAGCTTCATGTTGTTGTATTCTATGATCACCCACATATGTACTAGGCAGCATCTTTCACCGACATTTGCATATCATGGTGCAAGAGTTAATCCAGCTGTAGTTTTTGGAAACAAAACATAAACCTACAACAACCTTTAGAAGACACTGACTAATCAATGAGCCAGAGATGCGTTCGGATCTCATATGTATTGTGGATATATTAGAACTTCAAAGTCAGATACAATATAGGTCCTCGGCTTCCTGTGCCAGGTTGAGAAACGTCCTCAGCTCATTGTAGAGTGCTCACAATTCCTTGAACAATACCTTTTTGCAGTATCTACGTCATCAACTACATATAAGAGACGAATCATGATTTTATGGCATTGAAGAGAGGTCGATCACCTTGTGAAGCCAATGAACAGTAGTGTATCTCTCTGTATGAACTATTTTATTTCCTCTATCCAAAGTAGCCAATAGGCATGTAGATCTCAAATTTAAAATTTCGAACGTTACTCCTTAACGAACGGCCATGCTTGATACACACAAAAGAAGGACTTTTTTGCGTTTCATTTTAACCATCAACTTGCCCACTTTACATTTGTGATGTATAGTTTGCTTGACTGTCAAAGACGCCAAACTTGTACAGGACAACATTGTCGTCAGTTGAGCTCTGGGTATAGTCTACACTTATGTCAGCGAGCTATTTCGGAATTAAACCATGTCTATAAGCGGGTTGGTTGTCTGAGTTGGATCCAAAAAAACAAAAAAATCACCGTTCACATCTTTTGTTTTTTATGTGTGTTTTTGTAATGTGCTCACAAGAATTTGTACTACAGCATTTCTAAATCTGGGCTCTTCCTTACTCAATTGAAGCACTGTCGTTGGTTCAAATTCAGAAAAACATAACGAACATCCACCGGAAAGCAGTCTAACCGGTGCTAACAACAAAAAGAGCATCTGTACATGTAGATGCAAGAGAGCGAAAGGTTGTTTTGTACAGTACAGGAAGCAAACGAAGAATAAGGGTAAGAGGAAGAGAGGGAAAGAGAAGGGATAGCAGAGTAGGGGGGACAGTCGTTGCAGAAGGACGGGCGACCTTTGGGAAAGCGACAGAGGAACAGATAAATTCATTTGAATAGAAATTAATAATTTGAATGTTCCTCAGTACCTCCTCCTGAGTACGAGAAGGAAAGGATCGATCTGAAAGACGAAGGAGGAATGGTCTTGTGCATATTTTAAAAATGGAGGGATCATTTGAGATTTGATTGTTGCACAAAAACTGCAACCATCGATGGGACATCTCATTTTTAGTTGTTTTTGCTGTTTAGATGACAAAAATAAATATAATCATTTTTGGCTTTGGGTTGGCGGTTACACTGTTTAAATTGTTTCATTCCTAATTAACGAAATAAGTTAGCAAAGACAAAGTACATTAAAAACATGTACATGTACATGAACACCGTTCACACCTCAGCCGTGTCTTTCCAGCTAAATACATGTACAAAGTGCTCCTTGAATCCTCTCTCCTCATCCCTCACACCTCACATCTCACACCTCACATCTCACACTTCCTTCTTCTTTGCCCATTCCAATGCACCTTTACATTTAGTCAAGCCTGACTTTCTCATCCCGCCTCATCACTTCGCCCATTTAGTGTCATCTCTTTCTTTCTTTCTTTTCCTGTCATCTCTTCTCTTTCTTTTGCTTAAAGAAATTCCATCTTACCCTGGCTCTCGTTTTGTACACACTCTTTGAGGCTAGCCAGTTTAATCCTCCCTTTTTACTTTTGTTCAGACAAAAATAGGCACAATCTGCTCTTTGTTTTTTTTGTATTATTGATACGACCTTGCCCCTCTTCACTTGGCCCCATCTGTTGGCTTCCCTCCCTTTCTCTTTTCTCTCTCTCTCTCCTTTCCTCTCTATTCCTCCCTATCGAAACTTTTTTTTTTTTTTTTTTTTTTTTTTTTTTAATCGACAACTCTCTGCGCAACACCGTGTCTGCTGTGTTTATATTGTTCATTTTCCCCTGTCATTGTAAATTTTACTCCTTTCTTTCCCCTCTTTTTTTTTTAAAGAAATTGAGACATTCATCCAACAGTCTTGCATATGTTGGTTGCACCTTGATAATCTGTCCATCCGTTTGATTGAGTTGTTCATTGGAATACCATCGCCTTTAAAGTGCATTCCACAACAAAATTTTGATCTTCTTGAGCCTGACGAACTCTTTCTTTATTGCCTGAAAGCTGGTTCTTTTCGGTGTCACATTCCCCTTCTTCACACCTTGCAGTCCCACTCACTTTCGTATTATATAAACCCTCATCATCATGAAGAAGCCAACTCGACGACAAACGATTGTTGGCGATGAAAACTTCGAATTTATTGAACATCATTATCGCAACACGACTAGAAACTTCCCAAGCTCGAGCCCACCCCCGTCTTCATCAACATTCGACTTTCATCATAGTGGAGATGACTCTGATACCGCAGAACAGCATCGACAATCTCAATTCTACGTCTCTGATCCACAGAAACGCACCAAAGAATACCATATTGAGCAAGCAATTCAAGCCATTAAACTCCTTAAAGCCGCTTCAAAACCAGATGGCTGGAAAAAGGTTCTCAAACACAAGTCAGGATGCCTTGTATATCAATCCGTGAACAATGGGGATAAACATCCAATATTCAAAGGTGAATATGTCATCCGAGGCTACCGGGCACAGGACGTCTTTTCTGTCGTAGGCGTACGGAAACTCTGGGAGTGAGTACATATTAGCATAAATGAGATTAAATCGGGATTATTACTCCTCGCTTTGGCAATCAATTGCTAATATACCTTTGAGCCATACTTATTTAAATTCATTATTTCTTTGTGTCTGCCTCCTTAATAGTGATTGGTATGATGAGCTCAGTTGTGTAGAGTCTTATGATGATGCAACAAACCTTATGTACATGATCATGAAGAGTTCACTCTCATCCAAGTAACGTTTTTTTTTGTTTTTTGTTTTTTGTTTTTTCTCTGAAAGAAAGACAACAAGACACCAATTTCTCATAATTTTAAACCATTGATTTTAGGACGCGGGACATATCCATGGTGGAAAGAATTGAGGTAGAGCGCGACGGAACCATATACTTTGCTTCATGCTCCGTAGAATCCAATAAAATTCCACGGATATCAGGCAAAGTCAGAGCAGATATCTTTGTTGCTGGATGGATCATTCAACCTCTACCATCCAATCCCCCTATCACCAAGATCACCTATGTGATTCAAACAGATCTTCTAAGTCGGCTCCCGAAATTCATGGCCAAGAGGGCTCTCACAAAACGGCCACTTGTTATCACCACTATAGAGACGCATCTCAGAAAGAATGGCGCTCCTATGGTCATGTCCAAACTTGTTACCCAATCAGCTAATCGCCATCGGAGTTTGAGCGAGCCTTTGAAACCAGAAAAGTTTATGTTCACGGATCCAGAACCTGAAGAGAAGGCACAATCAGGATCGGCATTTCTCACGCCCATCGGACCTATCACAGCGGAGGCAGACATGGAATTAAATGACAAGGATGATTCTGATGATGAAGATATTCAGTTGGCAATGGCAGCCACAGATAGTTCCACATTCGAGACTACAAGGAGTTCATTGTCGCCTAGTATGAACTCCAATAGGTCCCTCCCATCGTTTTTTACACCAGAATTCTCAGAAAGTAACGCGATGCTTGGAGATACGACACGCTTCAGTGATTCACAACACTTTGGCAAGGGAGGGCTCTATGAGAATTCATTGCAACACCAGGATTCCATGTCAATTTCATCAAAGCATTCATCAAGCAGACATTCACAACTCTCCAGGATGATGGTTGCTGAAGCAGGTATTCGACGTCAGCGGTCCACGATGGGATCGACGGCTCGCACACCGTTCCCTCCACAAGCGAGGCCCAATGTCAACCAAGTTCCATTGGAAGCCTCAGGACGAGCAGCAACACCACATGTTGTTACTCCAGCCACACCTCCATTGACACCCACAAACTCAGTTGATGGCAAGGATACAGCCTCTGACTCGGATGCGTCGCTGACGCAAAGCGTCAAAGTTGTTCCACGTGCACCGAAGCAACATAAATCTCTGGACACATCCCTACCTTCAAGACCAAGTTCAATGGCGTTCGCTGCCTATGGAATGCGATCTCCTTCAGATATAATGGAATCTCGTCGCCACAGCACTTTGATTGGACGAAGTTCCTCATTCGCACCACGTCATAGTCACATTATGCCTCTCCGTGCAAATCCGCATCTGAGTCTACAGAGCATGAACAGAGCCTCCATGCTAATGGGCGCAACTTCCAACGCCATGAAGAGATATTCGATCGCTACAAGTTTGGATTCTAATAGATCTTCTTTGCTTACACCAATGCACCCACTCCCACATCGCCACTCTGAAACTGCGCGCAAGGCTCTGGCAATGTTCAAAGTACTTGCTTCAAGTCCCGAGGATCGTTGGAGGACAGTGTCGAACGATGGAACGTTTAAGAACTATAGTAGGGTCATCAACGGAGCAGGGCTTCCAATGCTTCGAGGCGAGGGCGTTATCAGTGGTGGATGGAGCGTTGAGCAGATCAATGCTGTGATCGAGTCCGCAGGATGTCGTTTGTTTTGGGATGAACGATTTGAGAACATGTCCATTGCCGAAACCTTCAATGCTAATGAATATCTCTTCCACGTTTCTCTGCGAGGCGTCGGCTCCTTGACGTGAGTTTGATGATAAGAACTATTAATGAATATGCTTTGTCCCATGAAGGAGTTCCTAACCTTTTTTTACTCATTTTTATTTCTGGGGGGAACATAAAGTGGGCGTGATTTGGCGGGCGTAACAATTATTGATCGTGATCCCCAAAATTCCGCACTTTACAATGTCTCAACGTCTGTGCTTGATACCACTATTCCAGAGGACCCAGGCCGTATCCGCGCGGTGCTTGAGCTCTCTGGTTGGTCACTACGACCGATTTTTGATGGAGAGGGCAACACAATCTCCGTTAATGTTACATATGTGATACAGATTGATATCCGTGGAACACTACCTAATTCTGTTGTCAAGTCTATTTCCGCCAGCATGATGACAGCCGTGCCTCGTCTGAATCACTTCATTAATAAGTATGGATATCCTCCATATGCCTCACATATATCCGGAACTAGACTTTTGGATACATTTGATCCTAAGACAGGCTTTTATGAGCTATGCTATAAGAGCGCACCAGGATGGACAGAGGTTAGAGTTGGAAGAAAAGTGTATAGGGAAGGGTATGATTTCTTCATCAAGCCTGATGATCCTACAGTGCGTGTCGAACTATCCCCAGATTTTGGTGGCGTACGTATTTATACCACGCTTGATCATGAAGGACAGAGTATTACAGCTCAGGTATCTAGAAAAGGACAAAATCAATCAAATAACTCCACCCAGGATCAAACGACCAAGTCACAGGGAGAAGAAGTCAGTGATGACGATGAAAAGGTTGATCAACGTAAGCATGACTCGCTAGTACCACGACGCCCAACAGACAGTCGAGTCTACGAGTCCTCGACTCCAATGTACGGTGGTCCGTCTCTGCGAAAGTCATCAAGCCATTTAAAGAGTAATAATCAAATCCAAAATGCCGAGCAGGTAGTTGATAATTCTTTTCCAAACGCTGGCGGCGGATCCGACCTACGATCGAATGGGGCGTCGTCGTCCATCAGTCGTAAGAGGAGAAGCGCCAGCTTCTCAACTTTGAGTAACTTTAATCCTAATCTCGTTGTTGCCTCTTCTTCTGATCGACACGATGTATCTCCACAGATTTCTACAGCGCCCAAGATCTCACAGAGGTTGGCGAGGAGTCGCTCTAGGAATAGAGCACCTCTTAGCTTGGTGGAATTGTCTGAAAGAACACCACCACTCCCACATCCCCGTCGGTCAAGTTCTCTCAATCGATATTCTCTTCCTATCGTACCCTGTCATTCCGGAGCCAATGCCTCAATTTTTCCAATCAATACTTTCTTAACATCTCCAACCTTTGGCAGATACAACCCTGTGTCTTCACCATCTTCGAGCTCATCCCCTACCAGTGTTCTGTCCACAACCTCAACAGCAGCCTCCAGTCCAACGACAAGCCCCGAATGCTATAAGCCATCATCGTCATACTCACCTCTCTCAAGCCCCACGCTCGGACTATTCCATATCCCTCGTTCGCCTGTGGCATCCATAATTACATCTCGTGAACAGTCAAATGAGTCGAAACTCACAAGGGATTCAACGTCAGAGATAACTCCTTTAGCAATTGCGGAGACCGACACAGTTTCTCTAACTAAAGAGACTTGTTCAGATGAGATCTACCCATCGCAACCACAAGGCGAGCCTTTCTTATCCTCCGAGGCCACAGCCAAGCCTAGCAATCTTCTAACAGCTACCAACTCAACATCAACAGTATCCGTTTCGTCTTCTGTGGATGTCATTGCAATCTCTTTGGTTGATTTGGAAAACAATAACGTCAACGTTGACTCGAAGCAAGATACAGAGACAGTGCTGCATGAACTAAGCCAGCCTACGCAGCAGTTGGAGGATCCTCCCTCATCTTTCCTTATTTCTGCACTCTCAAACTCTACAAGCGTACGAGAGTCGAATATAGAGCTCAATAATAATAATAATTGTGGTAGCTCCGTTAGACGAGTTCGTCGTGTCACATTCTCTCCAGAGGTCATTGACAACTCGGAAAACCGATCTCCACCTAGCCGTATCAGAAAGGGGACCAGGAAAAGACGAAGCTCCGTGTCTACCGAGGCACATCCTGCTGACAATACTGTGGCTCCCTCGAGCACAGCAAAAGCTGCAAAGGAGCAGGATGTTGTTGACAAGGCGTCCAATCCTGTATCGATGGCGGTTGCTGATGAACCTGACTACGAAAGTAATGAAGCTGAATTTGTTGACGCACTTGCAGAACTGGATGAGTTTACAGGAGCCGATATCCCTGAATCTCATGGAGATAGGGTTAACAACGCAGACCAGGAAGTAAAGAAAGTATCCACATCGACGATAGAAATGGACTATCTCCGGGATCCTGATGATATGTGGCGGGTCGCAATTGAGATATTTATTGGAGAACTTGGCTGGGCACAGGTCAAGGTTGCTTCGGCATTTGTATTATTGTTGATTTGCATGACTGTAGACATGTAAAATATTTTTTTTTTTTTTTTTTTTTGTAGACTACATCAACTCTTTTATAAATAATTTTAATCGCAGTGTGATAATTCCAGGCACACCACGCGATATTGTATTTTTACCCCTGACATAAAATTCACACCCCTCAAGTAGAATATCCTGTTATTTGGACTTTTTGAGCACACCCATTCTGTGGTAAGCAACCCAACGCCTCTTCCTGCATTAAACAATCAGCCTCATTACAACTTGAATTATCATGGCCGAAACACCCAAAAGGAGGCTCCTGCGTAGAGGTATGCTTCAGGCGTCCCCCTTTGGTACTCCCATCAAACCATTCACAATAACACCTGGAGCTGGAGCCGCGACTGGAATTGGAGCAACATCAGTAGAGCAATCATCAAAGCAGCAATCATCTTCGATGGCGAACCCCTTTCTCGCGACAGAATCAAATTCAACAGATGAACTAGGATCTATTCATACCAGCCCAATGTCTCGGAAATCACCCCGCCTGAGTACATTCTATCCTAAGGACATGCCTGAAAACGCCTTGAATGGAAGCAACAGTCTTAGTAGGTGTCCGAGTACTCCCAAGAAGATGGTTGGACCTATGACACCAAAGTCAAAAACGATCATTAAGATGGGTATCTGGGGCCACGTTGTTGGACTAAAGAGGCTGGACGAAACTGTGTACTATCGTTATCCTGTGGACAAGTCCTACTGCTCTTTTGGCCGGAGCAAAACAAACGATATAAGAGTGCAAATCGATGGAGTCTCGGATATGCATTGCAAACTCATTCGACGGGATGATGGGGAGGTAAGAAACAAGGAATTGAAATCTTAAGGATCGTCTCTTGACGTTTCACGGGCTTATTTACTCACATTAAACAAACATTCGACGTGTTTCTTTATTCATAGGTGTGGTTGAAGGATACATCCATGGAAGGAACATTTCTCAACGATGTTCTCATCCATGATACTGCACGGCCCATCCAGCACAATGATGTCATCACCATTGCAGGACGTAAATTCAGGTTTGAATCGGCAATGGTACTTGGCTGTCGCCACAGAAGATCCTGTATTGCCATATGTATACATGCACCTACTCAGAGACCAGTTCAGCTATTTACAATTCAATTCTTCCTGTCCCGATCCCTAGCCAACATTCGGATCAGAACCGGCCCCGGCTTTGAACACTCCTCATCGACACATCAGTAGCATTCAGGAATCTATCGACCTGGACATTCAACTACTTTCAGAAGCTCCCTCACCAACGACGGGAAGAATATTGGGCACGCCCAAGCGAAGTCTTTCAAGGAGCAGTGTGGCGTTAGAATCATCTCTCGGGCTTTTCACCCCGAACAGAGCAGCCAAACTAGAAAGCCTACTGGTATCACCGAAACCGATTCCTCTACCAGCTTTCTTAGCAAAATCGCCTGGAAGGCTGACAACAACACCGAGGAAAGTGCTCAAGATGATTGATGAGCCCTCCATCTTAAACCCTACATGTACTGTCATTCAGCAACCAACAGTTGAAATTGAACCTGGACTACAGACGCCTAGCCGGGACAAACGCAAAGCTCCAATAGATTTTGAAGACGAAATTCTTGGCCGAACTCCCAAGAAGGTTTCGTTTGGCCCAGCACTAAGTCCTGAGATCTTTGATGAAACAAATCCGCCCAGCACACCTATCAAACGTGGTGAGCAACAAGGTACAGAAACACCGCGACGTCAAGGAATTTCTACACCATCTCTTCTCTCTAGACTCAGCGCTGTTACTCCATCGGCAAAGCCAATTCTGACGCCTACTCGAGCAGGTGGTCGTATCGCAAATTGGGCGGGACTCGTAAAGCCTGCACCGTTGAATCTTTTGGCTGACATCAATCAGGAAAGAGAAGAGGAAGCAACCGGATCGACTGATGGAGCACGGATACAAACTAAAGCACAAGGAATGGGATATACGAACAACTTGGAAGTCTTCGATGAAGACCATAGTGCCAATCATTCAGGAAATGATGGTAGGGACAAGATAGTCAAGGATCATGATAAAGAGCCTATGCTTCTCCAAGAATTACAGGATACGATAGATGGAGTAGATGAAATGTATTTACAGCTTACTGAGCAAGTAGAAGAGGGTGATGACGATATAAGTCCCCCTCCATCACCGACAAGGACCCCCATCGGAAGAGCATCAACGCCACTTTTATCTACGTCACTGAGTCGACCAAGGCGTCTCTCGTTTGGCATGTATCAACAGGAAGATTTGCATCAGACCAACAAGCTCAGTTCCCCGACATTTGTATCAGGAAATGAAAGTGACCTTATTGAGCAAGCAATACATGGAGAGGAGAGAGAGCCCTCAATAACAGATGTCGCTATTCAACTTGATGGCTCGAAAGACAATGCTTCATTTGTTGATACTACTGGCGAGGCTCAGATTCAATTGAAACTTTCGTCATCGTCTTACTCTACGCCACCACGCCGCACGGCTACGACGATGGATAAAACACCTGTACATACTCCAGTCCAGTATCGCTCGCCTGCCAACCTTCAGCAAAATGATAGCGCGTCCCGTCGATCTACACCAGGCTCTGCCTCACGATTAGCACTCTTACAGCTCTCGACCCAAAAAATCCGAGGACTACCGGAGTTGCTTCAGTCACCCAGTTCCACAACTTTAGAGGTATTTATTTATTGTGCTTCAATCCACTTGGAGTTTCGTTCCAGAAAGAAATTACTAAATCCAATCATGTTTGTGTGGTTGCTTTACTTTTTCACTATGCGACATTTTTCCATACAATGCATAAATATCAACCATATGGTTATGATCTAAGCCCAAGACAACGAACGAGAGATGTCACGTATCTTAGTCATGTCATACCGATCCTCGGTCAAAATTCCTTTACCTGCCGCGCCTCGCATGTTACTAGGACCAGAGAACAAAATAAATAAATAAATAATAATAATAATAATAATAATAATAATAATAGCAATATCTGGCCTTATGATAATTGCTTTTTTTTTAAAAAAAAAAAAAAAAAAAAAAAAAAAAAGAGAGAGAGAGAGAGAGAGAGAGAGAGAGAGAAAGAGAGAAAGAGAGAAAGAGCTTTATTCATTTGAGTTAAAACAGCACGCATCCGTCGTGCCTGATGAAAACCAATATTTGATCCCCATCAACAGCAAATGCTTGATAATTAGACTCAAATTCGACTCTAGGGCTGCTGTTGCTTTTGACCATAGATTCATAGTATTTCATGGACCTTAGAGTGGTAGGGCGAAGTTAAACAGCAGCACTCCGACATCAAGGAAAGAGTCAACTTTTCGTGTCTTGACAGCCAATTATGTAAAGACGTGTTAAAATATATATATAATAATAATAGTAAATAGAAAACTTGGCTTCACAACAGCAAACATAGGCTTGACTGTTGTCAAGATGCAGATTTGTCTACGAACAACATTCTCTTTTTTTTTTTTTTTTTTTTTTTTTAATAAAGCGGTATCCATCGATCAAATCGATCAGTATTTGTTAACTGTCCACCATAGTTAAACCTCAGTTCCTGATACTACGGCTATGAAAAGACTTGATGGTCGCTCGGAATAGCGCTAAATGATATCCTGCTAGTGCCTATCGATCGGGTTTAAATTTTGCTCATATCCGAGACGATGCGAAAGATTCACGCCTTGTCCCTTCCTATTTAAAGAGGTTACGAATTATATGGTCTTAAAATCAAGCATGGACTGAAAAATCCAACCTTTTTTTTTTTCTCACTCCATCGACATCATCTCTTCGTAACATGGACAACCCTAAGCTGAATCCCTTCGAGATTCCGGAAATCCTCTTACTCATTGGGGAGCTGCTCGAGCGAAGCGACCTCCTAAACTGTATCCGCGTCTCCAAGGCTTTTCATAGAATTCTTATCAGTCTCATATGGAGGAAAATCACTGTCGGACCGAAAGGAGATCCTGACAGTAAAGCAGTACAGAAGCACAAGGAATACATAGAAGAAATTACATTTGACAACTACACATTTAATGATTCATTCCCAGAGAAGTATGAGTCGTTACAGAGGCTTCAGTCCATCGCATACACATGGTGGTGTTCATGGCCCACACCAATCCACCTTATCAACCAAATCAAGGCTCACAGCTCCATCATCACCATTCTTCACTTGACCAAACATATTGAGTATCCGCCAGAGTTCTGGAAGGTTTTGCTAGAATGCACCAATCTCAACCACTTGGAGATTAATCGCATAGATATCGATGTTGGAGTTGACTTATTCCTTCAAGTTTGCATGAGACTTCGGCACTTGGAACTGGACCATATAACCATTCACCAGTTCCCTATCAACATTCTTAGTAGAGAGCACAGTGAATATATTTTCCCAAATATACACACACTCCGTATTGACCATGTCAGGATAACCGATCCTTCATATCCGTACAGCAACTGGTATTGTCTTGGGATGTTTGTAAGGAGTTGTCCAGCATTGTGTTCACTGGAAATTAAGGGTCAGAGCCGAGATAAAGAAGACTTCTACAAGGTAGCACTCCTTCAGCATCCTTGGACTCTGAATAATTTATCAGACCTATGTGCCTATATCACCATCGAGGACGAGGATATAGCAGCGCTTCTCAGACGGATGACTGAATTAAAACAGCTACACCTCTCTACATGTAAATTTGGCCAGTTTTCTTTACAGGAGCTGCTAGCTGACAGGCAAGAGGTGGTGGATAATGGACAACTAGTACGAAAGACAAGGCTTCGGAGGCTCTGTGAGACAGTTGAGACGTTGGTATTCGGGATATACAATAACAATATTGGTGGCCAGACTATTTTATCAAATTGTCCACGACTAAAAACACTGGATGGATTTATAATTACAGTATCAGAGATTGTCGATGGAGCAGAATGGGTTTGTACTGGATTGACTCGCTTGATTATCTATCTTAAGGCAGACATTGATCAAGAGACTGAGGAAGGGATGGCAAAGGCACGTATTACGTTTAGACAACTAGGTAAACTGACTCGGCTTGAATATCTTATGCTAACACAGGGCTTATGGAATCGAAGTAGACGGACACTGGACTTGAGATTAAGAGCAGGTCTGAATGAACTAGCCAATCTGAAGAGACTAGATTGGCTAAGGATTATAGGTGATGGTTGCCAGCGAATGCAGCTTGAGGATGCGAAATGGATAGTGAGCAACTGGCCAAGGATTAGAGGTGTGAATGGTGTTCTGAACGATGAGAAAGAGACAGCGGATTTGCTGAAAGGGTTCTTTGAATCACATAATATATCCATTAGACAATAAAATATAGAGGAAAGTATTATCAGGTCATACTCTGATATAGAGACAGAGATCTTACACATAATGAAGGTGATAAGAATCACCACAGTAATAAAATATGTAAAAAGCAGGAACTATCCAATAGAGAATGACCTCCCAAGTTGAATGTCTATGCAACATGCGTTTGTATCAATATAGGGGTTTTATTTTATTTTATTTTATATAGCTGCCTAACGAGTTGTGCAGCAACTTAGTTTGCTGCAGGAGATGGATTAGTTGAAGAGGTTGCTGAGTCTCGCCTTTGTTTGATTCCTATTTGTTCTTTTGCTCACTATTACTCCTTTCTATTATACGTTCCTTTTCACAGCGTTGATATAGAGAGAGTTTACAATGGTTCCAAGAATGTATCAGACATGTTCAGAATTACAACAGTTAATCAGCCGCAGGAAAGGACAAAAACCTAGCCAATCAAATGAGTTGGTGGCGAACTGTCAAGCACAAATTGATGTATTAAAAGGGCTTTGAATTTCTGTGTCTCTCTTTATCCATGATCACACTCCATCGACATTTCTTTGCAACATGAACAATCTTAAGCCGAATCCCTTCGAGATTCCAGAAATCCTCTTACTCATTGCCGAACTTCTCGACCAAGAGGACATTTTAAACTGTATCTGCGCCTCCAAGGCTTTCCATAGGGCTTTTATCAGTCTCATATGGAGGAAAATCACTGTCGGACAGGAAAGAGATCCCGACAGTAAAGCAGTACAGAAGCACAAGGAATACATTGAACAGATCACATTTGAAAGCTACAAGTTTAACGACTCATTCCCAGAGAAGTATGAGTCGCTACAGAGGCTTCAGTCCATCGCATACACATGGTGGTGTTCATGGCCCACACCAATCCACCTTATCAACCAAATCAAGGCTCACAGCTCCATCATCACCATTCTTCACTTGACCAAACATATTGAGTATCCGCCAGTGTTCTGGAAGGCTTTGCTAGAATGCCCTAGCCTCAACCACTTAGTGGTTCATAACAAAGATATCGATGTTGCAGTCGATCCATTCCTTCAAGTCTGCAGGAGACTTTGGCACTTGGAATTGAGGTATGTAGCCATTCGCCAGCTACCTATCAGCTTTCTAAGTGGCGAGAACAGCGAGTATATTTTCCCAAATATACACACACTGTATATTGAGTATGTCCGGATAGTCGACCCTCCGCATCCGTACAGTAACTGGTATTGTCTTGGGATGTTTGTAAGAAATTGTCCAGCATTGTGTTCATTGCGCTTTGGGGGTGAGAACCAAGATAGAGAAGACTTCTACAAGATAGCGCTCCTTCAGCATCCTTGGACTCTGAATAAGCTGTCGGATCTATGTACCCATATCACAATCGAGGATGAAGATATAGCAGCGCTTCTCAGACGGATGACTGAATTAAAACGGCTACACCTCTCTACATGTAAATTTGGCCAGTTTTCTTTACAGGAGCTGCTAGCTGACAGGCAAGAGGTGGTGGATAATGGACAACTAGTACGAAAGACAAGGCTTCGGAGGCTCTGTGAGACAGTTGAGACGTTGATGTTTGGAACAAATAACGGTATTGGCGGCCAGACTATTTTATCAAATTGTCCACGACTAAAAACACTGGATGGATTTATAATTACAGTATCAGAGATTGTCGATGGAGCAGAATGGGTTTGTACTGGATTGACTCGCTTGATTATCTATCTTAAGGCAGACATTGATCAAGAGACTGAAGAAGGCATGGCAAAGGCCCGTATTGCGTTTAGACAACTAGACAAATTGACTCAGCTTGAATATCTTATGCTAACAGGGTGGGGCCCAAAGAATTTACGTAGACGGACACTGGACATGAGACTAAGAGCAGGTCTGAATGAACTAGCCAACCTGAAGAGACTAGATACGCTAAGGGTTGAAAGTGATAGTCACCAGCAAATGCAGCTTGAGGATGCGAAATGGATGGTGAGCAACTGGCCAAGTATCAGAAGTGTGAGTGGTGTTCTGAACGATGAGAAAGATGCAGCTGCTTTACTGAAAGAGTTCTTTGAATCGCATAACATATCCAATAAGTAATGGATTATAGAGGAAAGTATTATCAGATCATACTCTGATATAGAGATGGAGATCTTACACATGGGCCTTTTAGTGCATTTCTACTTCCTGACAATCGCTATACGATCTAAATGATAATGATGGTATAAGAACCACCACAGCAATAAAAATATGTACAGAGCATTGCATCGCAGAAACTACCCAATAAAGAATAACTTCCCAAGTTGAATAGCCTACGCACCATGCATATGTCTCAAAATAGGGGCTTTATTTTATATTTTATTGCTGCCTAACGAGTTGTGCAGCAGGTTGAAGAGATGGCTGAATCTCGCTTTCGTTTGATTCCTCCTTCTTTTCCTTACTATTGCTCCTTTCTCTTATACGGTTCTTTTCACAGCGTTGGTATAGAGAGAGTATACAATGGTCCCTAGAATGCTCCTACCGCTGTTGTGCCGTTGCCAGGTTCAGCGTCGAACTTTTACTTTCACAGCTATACATCTCAGCTTTGAGTATTCATCAGTCTTGTCCCTCTCTTATCCACGCTATGAACAAATTGTGCATGGATAGCAATTGCTGAGTGTTTGACGGGATGCTAGACGACTCTCTTGTTCAAAAGAGCTTTGTGGACTATATCCGACTATATCCATGTCTGCAATCATTCAATGCTGCTCACCAGTTTAGCAGCGCAAATCCAGTCACATTTTTTTTTCCTTCACTCTCATGTCTCATCGACTCCATCTCTTCGTAACATGGACAACCTTAAGCTGAATCCCTTCGAGATTCCAGAAATTCTCTTACCCATTGGTGAACTGCTCGACCAAAAGGACATTTTAAACTGTATCCGCGTCTCCAAGGCTTTTCATAGGACTTTTATCAGCCTCATATGGAGGAAAATCATTGTCGGACCGCAAAGAGATCCTAGCAGTAAAGCAGTACAGAGGCACAAGGAATACATTGAAGAGATTACATTTGAAAGCTACGCATTTAAAGTTCCTTTCCCAGAGGAGTTTGAGTCGTTACAGAGGCTTCAGTCCATCGCATACAAAGGACAGTGCTCATGGCCCACACCGGTCCACCTTATCAACCAGATTAAGGCCCATAGCTTCATCATCACTAGCTTTCAACTGAGCGATTATGTTGAGTATCCGCCAGGTTTCTGGGAAGCTTTGCTAGAATGCACCAACCTCAACCACTTGGAGGTTAATCGCAACGATATCGATGTTGCAGCCGACCTCTTCCTTCAAGTCTGCAAGAAAGTTAGGCACTTGGAATTGAGGTATATAGCCATTCGCCAGCTACCTATCAGCTTTCTAAGTGGCGAGAACAGCGAGTATATTTTTCCCAAATATACACACACTGCATATTGAGTATGTCCGGATAGTCGACCCTCCGCATCCGTACAGTAACTGGTATTGTCTCGGGATGTTTGTAAGGAGTTGTCCAGCACTGTGTTCATTGCACATTCAGAGCTGGAACGACCAAGATCAACCAGACTTCTACAAGGTAGTGCTCCTTCGGCATCCTTGGACTCTGAATAATTTGTCAGCTCTGTATTTCTTTGAGGAGATGATAAAAGACAAGGATTTGGCAGCACTTCTCAGACGGATGACTGAATTAAAACGGCTAAACGTCTCTATTTATGAATCTAGTCAGCTCTCTTTGCAGGAGTTGCTAGCTGACAAGCAAGAGGTGATGGATAATGGACGGCTAATAAAGACAAGGCTTTGGAGACTCTGTGAGACAGTTGAGATGTTGGTATTTGAGACAAACAACAGTGGTGTTGCTCAGACTATTTTATCAAATTGTCCACGACTGAAAAGACTGGAAGGACTTAAAATTACGGTGGCAGAGATTGTCAATGGAGCAGAATGGGTTAGTACTGGGTTGACTCACCTGATTATTCATCTTGAGGCGGATGTTGATCAAAAGACTGAAGAAGGCATGGCAAAGGCACGCATCGCGTTTAGACAGCTTGGTAAGTTGACTCGACTAGAGTATCTTGACCTAAGGTGCCCAAAGAATCTACGTAGACGGACATTGGACTTGAGATTAAGAACAGGTCTGGATGAACTAGCTAATCTGAAGAGACTACATACGCTAAGCTTCAGAAGTGATCGCTACCAGCAAATGCAGCTTGAGGATGCGAAATGGATGGTGAACAACTGGCCAAGGTTTAGATGGGTGAATGGTGATCTGAACAATGAGGGGCTGGAAAGCTTTTTTATGTCATATAGAATATTCTACCAATAGATTAAATGCATTGTCATAGCTTCGCCTGGTATGGAGGACAATAGCCTTGGTCATAGTCATAAGATATGAAATTAAAATAAACTTTACATTTTGATTGAAATGATATTATAGCCAGCTTTTGCATCTCAAGGAACTCTTTATACATAATGTATCAATCAAGTTCATTTAAAAGTGCTATTTTGGAAGGCCAATCATGGGGTATCGTCATCCTGTCCCCTGTGGCCAACGTTACTTATTCTCCACTGAAAAAAAAAAAAAAAAAAAAAAACAAAAAAAAAAACAAAGAAGCGACAAAGTAGATAAAGGCCACCGGGCTGTGCCCTTTAGAACTTAAACATCCTTGAGTTACTGATTGTTTGTGCAAATGAATAACACCCAGTGCGGCTTATCTAGTAGACTCAAGTAGCCCTCATTATCACATTATCATGTTAAAGGTAGCTCGGGTACACACTTTAAACTAGCTGATGAATGTGAATTATTGGTATGGTAAGGGTGGATCGTGGCGGGATGGGTTGAGTCTCGTCGCATGCATAAGTCAACAAAGATACGGATATAGGACTCCTTCACCATAGCTGGGTTGTATAGTCTCAATAGACGCGTTCGTATTCATCCGCGCTACCCTGTTGTTCCTTTTGTACCATTTATTATCATCACCTTTTTTTTTTTCTTTTTTGTTGCAGTTTTATAATTCAGTAGATCAAAGAGTAACTAATTCTACTGAAATCCTTCTTCCTCTTCACCATTTCTAGGCTCTCCTTCCCCATCACTGTTTTGGATTTTATGTCCTTATAAGTGTAAACGCGTTGCAACACGTTAAGTACCTGTAACAGCGCGCGTCTACCAGTGGTCCGAAATCATTGAGTAAGGAACAGAGCATTGAATCTGTCTGGGAAATAACCAGAGCTGTATAGTTGTGTGAGCGCAGCTAAATACATAGGGCATCAAGGTATGCTACTGCTCGTGTCATTAAAAGATATGCCTCACTATTCAGCCCCACTTGAATGTTTATTTTTATTGAGAGACAGGGCATTGTAAATCAGGGCGATCTTTTGTTGATTTGCTTCCAAATCTGGAACGTGATAAACTACGCCGCCTGGCACCTACCTTATGGTCGTTACTTCTATCCTACCGGAGGAGACGATAATCCCTCTACTTGGATCAACCCCGAGCCAGATCTCTACCAACGCTTGCGGAAGCGGAAGCCCCATCCCAAGCACTGTTGAACCAGCTAAAAGAATGACTCATTCAAGCTGATGTCAATTACCAAAATTGTTTGGATGAGAAGATGAAGACGACCGTTCATTACAATGCGGCAATCATCAATCCAGCCCTTCCTACCGAAGATGCTGAAGCAGCTAGACTGAAGTTTGAGCAGATGAACAAAGCTCTCACTGACAAACTCGACATGGCTGAGGTCCATTATCAAATGATCAAAGATCTGACTGATATCCAGGAAGCCATGAACAAAACTAGGCAACTTGTTGTTGCACCAAACGAAGAACGGTCGCTTCCTGAGGCTGAAACCCAAGATCAATTAAAGAATACTATAGAGTCCTTTCCTAAACAAAGGAACCATCCTGGAAGAGTTGAGAACCATCATCCCTATCAATTAGGGATCAGAGCTCAAGCAGCCGATGATAAACCCTAGAATATTCTTGGTAAAAACCTAGAACAAAAAAGAAGTAAACTAAATATCAACACAATTGTTGAGTGCCCTACCGGCTCACCTTTGGCTCACCTTTTGATGAAAACAAACATTCATCTTTAATTCACAAAATTTTGGCTATTAATTATTCTTTAAAAAAGCAGCGCCAAGTGCTGTACTGAAAGCTAAAAGACCACAATCAAAAGCACCACATCCGTATGACAATTATGCGAATCCTAAACCAAACAGAAATCTTGGTTACAGAGGGCCTGAGCAAGGCTCGTCACCAGTCTGAGGACGAAGTTCATGTGCACATGCACGTACTGAAAGGCAAATCTGGCTTGCTCTTGCAGACACTTCTCTCTCAGGCTGGGACCAAACTTGACATTTTGGCTGGAGGTCTCTTTTTTAAATTTGAAAAAATTCCCGAGTCGAAGCATCTCCTGAAGCAACACCAGAGGTTAATAAGCCAAAAAAAGGTACAGCCATCTGATAAAGCCAACTCAAAAAATAGACGAATAACACGGTCCAAGAGAATGGCATCATAACGCTCATAGAGAGTATCGCAGAGGTTTTTTACTGGCAAAAAATAATAATCTGCACGTTGAGGTTTATTTTTTCCTCACAGGTTTTGTTTTAATTTCCTGAGTGACAGAGATCATGTATAAGCAATATCAATTAGGTTAAAACATTGCACGCAGCACCACATTATCCGAGCATTTATTCATTTGTTTTCTATATATAAAGATCCTATTTATGTGGGCTGGAGGGCTGCAATTAAACGAAATATGCAACAGCGGTTATGACGGGCCCTCAATAAGTATGTGTGTAGGACCGATTTAAAAGCGCTACCGCCTTTGTCTAAAGTGCAAGCGAAATCACTATAATAATTTTGTCCAACATAGTATTTCGCCCATATTTCTAGAGCATTCCTTGCAACAGGACATTAACTAGTATAAATAGGTCTACTTTTCTATCTAGTTCTGTAGCATAGTTCCCCCTGAATAAAGATACCTTTATTGCACCCTTAGATCCCCCTAGAACACTACCTTGACTTTTGCATAAAGGGTAAGTGGATAATGATGGCTTCATTCATAAAGAATGAACCATTGTAAAAAATCCTCAAGGAACGGGTATAATGCTTTTTTTAAAAAAAGATAATTTTCCATCCACTTGATTGCTATTCGATTTAATTCTCCAGATTCGTACCGGCTGATCCTCCTGAATATGCAGCTTCGATGTCGATTTTTATGACACGCTGACTTACATGTTTTAAGCATTTATATGGCTTCTGGACGACCGTATTTCTGGCGGTAAGAAAGTTCTGAACTTTAAAATCGCCATATACGTCTCCTGGCACCACAAAATAGAGGAAAATATCATCACTTCCCTTCGACTTTGATTGGTCTCCAGTAATATAATCAATTATCTTCCTGAATGGTGCTTGCTTGATCGGATGCTTCTCTGATACTGTGATCTGAAATAGCTCGTTGGGTCCCAATGCAAAATCAATGCACGGAAATTTAGAATGTTTTGGTACAAACAACTTGCCAGCTGCTTGAGTGAGCCCTGATAATTCCTCTGAAGTCCGGATAAACACCTCTTCTGGATTTGCTGGAAAATCAAGAAATCCTGTTTCGCCTGACTGGAGATCCCTAAAGGGAAATCTAATATCACCACGTCGAAATAAGTGATGAGCATAGATTTCAAATAGTGGGCCTTTATCTATATCCTCTCCGCCTTTGACAAGTCTCGCCAACACATCGACCCACGTGTCATCTTTTATTTTGTCCATAATCTGTGATTCGACCCAACGAGATGCCCACACCAGGTAGAAGTCGAGATGGTCAGAAGTGGGGACTCTATGTAGTAAACAACTAAATCCACTCGCATCTTTTCCTCGTGCAAAGAGGCTTAGAAGATCTGCTGGTTTCTCGAGTGTTCTAATGGCATCATTGACGCGGAGAAACGCAGCTTTTTTAGCACGCTCAGTATATTTTTGATTATCGGATAGTACGTCGGCTGGAGCCTGTAGAACCTGTCTTGGCACGCCCCCCAAGTCGTAAAAAAGCTCCTCCAAAAATGCTTCACTCACTACATGAAAAAACTTTACATTGGCTCTACATTCCTTAAGCTCATCCAGACTCCAGAGTGACATGTGATAGTAGCTATTTGGTGTATTTTCCTTGGTGAGTTCATCGTAATGCCCATAGAGAGTTCTTGGCGATGCTGAAAATATCGTCCTGGCTTCACCTGGTTGAGGATTTTCACCACTATCAACTAAATACCACGTTTCACGTTGGTCAAGGAAATTTTTGAAATCTACTCTCTCCCCATAACGTCGGCAAGTTGTTCCTCCGTAGGCATAACATTCGGTACTCTGCTTCTCATGGAAAATAATAATCGGTGGATTTTCCTCATCGTGTTCGGCAAGGAGGCGGATGGCAAAATAGACCAAAAAGGCTGACTTCCCAATTCCAGGCGTTCCAGTGACAAAGAGTCGGTTCAAACGAGTTACTTCATGAGGGGTACTTAATTTGGATGTAATATGGTCATAAAGCTCTTTATATTCATCTCTGATATAAAGATGCCTTGTTTTAGCAATAGGGAAGATACGACCCTCAGGGGCAGTCAATATTTTGGAATCCTTGATACCACCAGAATTTCGGAGCTCGCAAGCCACGCTAATAATGCTGCAGTAAATACTATCTCCTGATAACTCCTCCCCCATGTACGAAAGCAGCTTGACCCTCTCTTTCGAGTTTAGAGGCGAGATTACAGGGTCACCATTCACTATCCCTTTCGTTACAAGTCCTGCTTCTGTAATCGCATCCGTAAGAGCACTTCTGCTACCTATACTTGGACGAGCTTTTTTAGAGGGTGACTCTGATAAAGGAGATAGAGTGATCAAAGTCAATATTTTTGATTTATTGCACATCACTCTAAAATGATCAATAACCAGATTCTCGGCCAAAAGCACTCACCAGAATCTCCATCTTGTTTTCTTTTCTGACCTAAGTATCAAAAGCGAATAATGAGAAAGAACGTTGAGTTATCAAGACACAAACCAAATGGTGATATTATGCACATGGCCGTTTAAGATACAAACCAAGCTTCATCAGCTGAAAATATCAACAATCAGTCCATCAAGAGCCAAGGATATACCTCGCTGTGGTGGCTTGACAAAAACATGGATAGTTTCCTTTGGAAGTTCAGAATTAAATATCTCCCCGAGCTCCATTGACGCGATTGTGAGAGCCTCTTTTGACTCGATTTCTGACTCAAAGATGGCCTCGCCTTTGTCAGGGATGGAGACCTTGTAGAGGATGAGCTTATCTGCAGCAACATGATCAAGTTCTGGCTTCTTTGCTACCTTGATGGCTTGCTTGAGCATCCCGACCGTTTTATCGCAGAAAATCTCTACTGGGAACGACGTTGCTTCTCCCTCGACAACGCAGTTCAGCAGTAGAAGTGCGCACTTTTTTCGTTGTGGGTGCTGGTTTACTCTTTTTCGTTTATTGAGTGTGGAGGCATCCTCAGGCTTATTTGCAGTCATTTTTTTTTGTGCTTGGTTCTCTGTGGAATCATTTGCAGCCATGTTTTTTTGTGTTGAGCTCCTTGTGGTGGCCATTGAAAATTAAGATGAGTGGGACTGAGTGTGGTTGAAATGCAGGGAGAATGATGGCTAAATAGGCAAAGGTATATTCTTACTCTTTCACCCGTGGTCACGATATGGAAACAATAATGAAAAATGTGTAAGGCAAAAAAAAAAAGAAGGAAAGGAAAAAAAAGGCAATAAATGAAGGCTTGGAATGAATAAAAGAGGTAAGTGGTGAAATATGAAAAAGGTGGCGAAAATGAAGTGGAGCAAAGGAAAGAAAGGAGCGACAACTGATAAATTTGTTCCTTTATTTCAAGGTTAGGCTTTTGCGTGAGAAAATATTTTTTTCAAATCAGCCACGTGCCATTTTCTGGGTCATTGTGACGTGACAATCTTTAGTGCGCAGCAGAGGGTCAAGCTTGTCACTCTTTTTGGTTAGTCCTTTTCAATTATAAGAATTTTGTTAAGTAAACCATTTATATTTGAAAGAGTCTAGCCAAAAAGAGCGACAAGCTTGACCCTCTGGCGCAAAGAACTCATTTCTCAGTCTCGTCACCAGCCTGAGGACGAAGTTCATAGAGTCCTCGCCAAAAAGTCATAAACTGGATATATTTTACAATACTCAATTTGAATTAAAAATTTGAAAAATAAAAATTTACGTACGAAGACAAAAATGCATATATTTTTTGAATAGAAGGAATGAATTAGATGCATGGCCACCAAACCAATTCAATCTTCGTTTTTAATTAGAAATATTAGAATTTGCGAGAAATGGGAACATCATTCTCAATCTCATTCTCGATCTCATCCTCATTGTCAACCTACTTTATTCGCAATCTTCAGATAGTAAAATGTCTTTCCCTTTTGATATCAATAACCTACTCTCATACAACGATCTTGGTGGTTGGTATAGCGAAGGAAATATCGACCAAATGATTTCAGGCACACCCTTCACTCCGCCTCGAAGATCGCCACAACTGCCCACTGAAGCCGATCTCTCCCCTATTAGGTCTCCTACCGAATATCAATGGATTACTCCTCCCAGAAACGAGCCAAGGAGTTCTACCTCATTAGAGCAATTCGGTGAGCGTCCCAATACCCTCGATTTAAATCCATTCTTGTCAGACAAACAAACTGGAGAGAGAAAAAAGGCATTTACACGCAGTAAAGCGTCCGTTACTAAAGACGAATACGCGATAATAGCTCATACATATAATGCTATAATGAATGCGCCACCAGCAGTCCAAGACTGGTTTAAGAAGACAGACAACAGAGCAATGGACCTTTCGATTCTGATGGGTGTAGGGAGAAACACTTGTGTGGCAGCAATTAAATATGCACAAACAGGCATCGTCGAAATGACAGGGCGAGGAAGAACTGGTCGCCCTAAAAAAGAAGCGGACAAGGATTTAAACTCGAAGGTG